CATTAACCTAGATACAGCAATGCTTTTCAGGTTAATTAAAGTTTAATTCCCAGATAGCCTATACAGGTATGATTGATCATTATCATTGATTAATCAATTCAATTTGCTTTTGCAAAGCTAATTGGGCCAACTCCAACAGTACTGGTCCAGTATTCACAGAAGTATTGCCTTAACGGGAATCCCATGTGGTTCCAGCCCTTAGTGAAAAGTACCCTGGTGGTGAACTCACATTTGAACTACTGGTTACACTTAGGATATCTCAAGTGATTGGATATCATTGTCTCATTCAATTTAATAAGTTAAATTGCCGAACATACATTACAGGTTGATCATTTGGATAAGATTCAGATTGATTTGATTCAACAAAGGAGATAATTTAAACTTTTCCATATGAACCTAGATACAACAATGCTATCAGGTTAATTAAAGTTAAATTCCCAGATAGCCTATACAGGTATGATTAATTTTAATAATTAAAATTGCTTTTGCAAGTTTGTTAAACGCCAACTCTGATCCAGTATTGAAGATTCATTGGCATCTGTAAACCGAATAAAAATTGTTTTTGCAGCTTCCAACGACTCAAAACCCAAAATTGTACATAAGTTTAAACAACTAATAATCAACAAAATGAGAAATCTATCAGAGAGGGTGCCATCCATTCCCCCGCTAATAAGTGAACCCTCACCCACAGAAAGATTGATCGCTGACCTCAGCAGCGATACAAATCCAAACTATGCCGAAAGGTTGAGAATGTTAGGTCACGATGCCATAAGTGAAAAAACCCAGCAGAAATTGCAACTGACGCCCTCCAAAATAGGCCGGCAGGCACAGGCCTTGTAAAGGTTCTCTCCAGTTTAGCCCTGAACCCTGCCCACCAGCAGAGATGGGCATTGGTCCAATACCACTGTGCTCAGCAGAAGCACGAGCAATAAACTGTTGAGATGAAGGGACAGGTGGAGAGAACCAGGAAGCAAATGACAAAAGCCAACAAAGACAAGATGCTGCTAGCCGAGCAGCTGCATTTGAGAACGGATCAATTAAAAGATCTAGCAAACACTTATGACGAAGAACGAGCACAAACTCTCAAACAAATCAGTTTTCTACAAGAACAACTCGATTTAGCCAACAGTAAATACGACGAAGTCCACACAAAATTGGATGAATCTGACGAGCTAGCTAAAAACATGGGCGACCCAACTTGATGCCCTGCAAGCAGTTTCAAATGACACCACTCAAAGCAATAATGTTCTTTTACAAAAGCTGCAGACCAAAGATGATCAGTTAATGAACACCTTGACCAAGTTGGATAACAAAACAGCGGAACTCATTGAAGACGCTGACCGAATAAACGATGAGAGATCCCAAGCGAGGAAGTTGGGAAAACTTGACCTCTAAGCAAGCGGAGGATATCTCATCACTGAATCTCTCGCTGCGCACTCGAGACCTCTCCCTGCAAACCATGACAGATAAGTATGAGGCCGAACGGAGCAACTGCGACACTCACCCGTCTAAAATAAATACCCTCAGCTCCCAAGTGGACTCTGCGATGCAGCAGAACACCACCCTTAGGTACCATCTGGAGGAACTCCAGAACAGCCACGTGCTACCGCGTGACTACCCAACCAGGCAACCAAGCTCGCAACCGGAGCCTGGGGAACGAAGGTGTGTGGGTGACAGGAGGTTTCAGACTTCACCTCACTTAGGGGTCCCTCAGTCTTTTCATCTTAATCATTCGGCCCAGAGTAATTTGTATTTTCCTCTAAGCCGTTAGGTCAAAAATTATCCATGGGAGGAAGCAGACGCTCCCCGCGCACTTGGCGCGGAACGCCTTGACAAATTCGGAAAAAAAAAAACATTGACATATTTGACCCCGTTCCAGGTAAGCCAAACGACACTGAGACGTTCTTAGCAGACATAGAGGACGCCTTGGATGGCTACCCGAACTCTACGAATACTGACAGGCTTTACCTGTTGAAGCGAACGTCCTACAGACACGTGACAAGGTTAATCCGTCTACAACAGCAACACGTGCAAAATGACCACGCTAACTTGCAAATAGAATTCAGTGGTTCTGCGACTCGCAAACACGACAGCTCACTGGCTAACACTGTCAAACAAGCTCGGAATGAACACCCACAAGCCTACTATCATAGGCTTCGTTCAGCTTACTTTGGCATGCTCACTGAAACAGGAATGGAAGAGCTATTACCATTCAAACAAATGTTTCTGTCAAACATGTATCCCAACTTCATTAACTACTTGGGGCCTACTGCCCACATTGGTTTTCCAATCTTGGCACTCCGAGAGCTTGCGAGCACAGCTTTTGATGCCGGACACCTCAGTTTTCAAGATTGGGGGGATGCAATCACTCCAGTTGGAAGGTGTGGCATCAGGGACAGGACCGGAAAAAGATGACGCACCAGGTTTGCGGCTACCACGTACATACCACACCGATGACCACAGCAGTAACAATAGCTACAAAGAACGTCCCCAACCAAACAGGCCCCGCAGAAGGTCGATCTGGCCGCTACGTTCCTGCATCTAACCCTCACAAATGGTCAGGGAACAAGGGTAACAAGCATAACAAGAGTGACAAAGAGTTCGATGATGACCAAAACGTAACCCAAAGGTATCTAGAAGCTCTGATAAGAAATGTACTGCAGCAAAACATTTTTTAGAAAGAGGGTAAAGATAAGTCACCATGACTAGGCGTGAAATTGCTGGAGAATAGGTCCCCCGAAATTAACACCATTTGCGAGGTCGTAAACGTTCACCTTAAACCCACCCTCACTCAAATCCCAGTCCAGGGCCCGCTCAATCTAGATATAAGCCCATGGGCTTTGTCTAGAGACCATGATATAGATGTTGAGACGCACAAGGTAAGCAGCGTTGCAACAGCTGATTCCTCTCCCATTCCGATAGAGGACCCACTGAGTCACGAAGTATAGCAATCTGTCTTAAAAATTGACAAAGATAACTCACCAATCCGTTCTGCCAACCCACTCCACTTTGTTAGCGATATGACAAGAAAAACCGACTCGAACAGGCCATACCGCAAAGCTGTCTTAGAGGACTGTTTGACCTGTGATGCACTGATAGGTTGGGTTCGACTATTTCCCTCATATCTCAAACTTTGCTGGATGAACTCAAAAGGGCAGTAGACCCTTGGTTAAAAACAGAACAATGTGACACTAAACTTTGAGGTTTCACTCAGGCTACCTCGCCTCGTACCAAGAGTAATCTACTAAAACGGAATTTTCGAAAGCGTGCCACTTGTCCACCCTGTGTACGTGACTAGCATTGACACCGAGCAGATGCTGATTGGGATGGATTTAATAGACCGTTTGGTACCACTGATGGATTGGAAATCCAACCAAATCTGGTCACAAATCACCTGGTCGTGACAAACTTGGCAAAGACCATGCTGACAGCATTGCGAAATCTGGTGCAATTATCGGCACCACTTGGTGTTCGATGCTCGGGACGCAACGATCACAGAGGCGCCAATGGTGTCTGCAGTAACGCGTAGCCATGTAGCACCGCGTGAATCATCTTCGCACAAACATAATGTGTCGCTAACTCATTCATTCTTGAATGGTGACTTGGTAGCAATGCAACACCAAGATGAGTCCCTCGCCACTTTCATGGCTTTCTTGTCTGATGCTATCAATCACCAAGTGTCCGAGCTGGCTGTGGCAGGCTCACACGACTTGCGTTCACTGTACGCAACTAAACTGGTTTGTGTTTCAGAAACCGACGCCACACAAAGGTGGGTGGTTCCTAAAACACAGAGGGGGATAATGATAGCCAATGCCCACGACGACCCAAGTGAGGGCCATAGGGGGCTCAAGGCTACATGTGGAACAATGCGACAGGTGGCCCACTGGCCTCACATGGAACAAGAGGTGGCAAAATATGTGAGGGGGTGTCTAGTTTGCTGCCAGTTTCAACCCTCCAAGCCACTTCACAGATCACCCTAGGAGCTCCGGCAGGGTAGAAAGAAGCAACTAAACAATCGTCACAATCTTGAGGAAATATGTGGCAGACAACCACAAAGATTGGGACATCAAACTCCCACTCGTACTGATGGCGATCAGAGCCACACGCAACAGGTCTACGGGAATATCACCATTTGAGATGATGACGGGCCGGCAAATGACGCTTCCACTGCATCTCCTGTACCAACCGGGAGATGTCGCCACGGCCACCGCGTACACGGCCCATCAATACGTGACGGACTTGCGAACCCACCTCCAGACTACCTTTGCGTACGCTCAAGGAAAGTTGGAAAGAAGTGCGGAAGGTCCAAGACCCATTACAACAAAAAGGCCTGACACCAGGACTTTGAGGTCGGGGATACAGTGTGGTACTACATATATACCAAACCCGTGGGCGTTGCGAAAAATGTCCTGCCCCACATGAGATTGTGTTAAAGCTGTCACCTGTTGCTTATCAAATCAGAATCAGCAAAGGTCGACAGAACATACATTTACATTTTAGTCATTTAGCAGACACTCTTTTCCAGAGCGACTTACAGTTAGTGAGTACATGCATTTTCATACTTTTTCATACTGGCCCCCCGTGGGAATCAAACCCACAACCCTGGCATTGCAAACGCCATGCTCTACCAACTGAGCTACACGCTCAAGTGGGTCCACAGGAACCAAATCAAGTTGTACACTCCACCAATGGGAATAGAAGGGGTGCAAGCCAGCCCCGAATAGATAGAAACCTAGCCAATCAGAGGTACTAACACAATTCTTAAGTGTCCTCAGCTGATCCCTTCCGGGAGGTCAGTCATTGCACCTAACATATTTTCTTCTCTTCCCAGCTAAAAGACACACATTTCGTTGTCATTGTTGATATTGTCCTGCGTTGTGCTGTTCAAAATAGGAAAATCAACTAAATTATTTGTCAAAACGTTTTTCTTTCAAAAAACTAAACAAAACAAAACACAACTGAAATAATTAAACAATATCTCTAATTATGCATTTTGTGGGATGAAGTTCCTTTGGATGATCCTGACACTCTGCGCCCTGGTCAAAACCAATCCAGCAGATGTACTCACGAGTGGACCCCCTACGGGAATCGTTCTCCTTGATGATCCAGGACTCCTTATAACCAACTGCAGAGTACACACGCAGAGGGTGTACGTGTGCCTAGATGCAGAGAACATGTACCGACAACACATTTCCCCTGCGGCACATATAAGTTGGGCCGGGGCTGACTGGACCACCCAGGCAGTTAAGCACGCTCAGCTAGACACTGCCCACATGTTGGCCCAACTCCAAAAGTTCACAGTCACCCAGTCAAAACTAGCAGAGCCCAGGTGAGAAAAACGATTCCTCAGGGTGCTACTCTCAATAGGTGCAGCCGTAGGGTCACTATTTGCTCTAGGGACCACTGCCGTCAATGCAGTCAGTCTAGCCACGGTCAAAATTAATGTTAGGGAGATTACTGAAGAGATGCCACTTATGCAGCAACAGATGCAATCACAGGCACTCAGGTTGCAGCATGTGGGAAGGACTCTCCAGGACACTATTCTGGTGGTAAACACACACGCTATTCTCCTGTCGGTAGGCAAGCTAGTAGAGGTCATGAACCATGACTATGCCCATGTCCAATTGGTTTGATTGTTGTTGGAGGATTTTCTCCGTGAAGTTAGCTCTTCTAAGGACCACTTGGCCATGAATAGAATCTCATCATATCTAGTGCCCCTCTCAATGGTGCAAAACATATTGACCTCAGCTACCACAACCACGATAAAGCCATTACACCTGGCCTATAGTCTGGGGTTGCCGGTTGTTGAACTGGAGAATATCTATAGGTTGAAAACAGTTCTAAACGTAGGATTTTGGCACGACAACACCCATGTGAAAATCATCACACCTCCAGTCATAGCTTATCAGGAACACAATCCAGATTTCTATCTCACCCCTAACCTGTTAATGTGTACTCTAACCAAAGACGTCCCCTACTTGTGACCTAGCAAACCCTTCGTCAGGGAATAACACTGAGCGCCTTTGTGGCCCTAAGCCTATCACCAGCGAAGAATGCTGTAGAGCCAAACTAACAGCAAGAGGTGGAGTCACCACCACGCAAGTGGAAGTGGTAGGGAATCAATGGCTGATTAACACTCCATTCAAGTCCGCCACTATGACTTACGAACGCCATGACTCAACCACCCAAATGAACCTCCCCAATCAGACAATTTTTGTTAAGGTACAAGAGGGGGCGATTATCCCCATAGACGACCTAGCCCTATACCAACTTCCTGACGACAGGATAGACACAGATATTGAAATGCCTGATGCTTTTGCTAAACGTTCCCTTGAGTTACCACCAGCTATTCAAAACCAAATTCAATACGAGGGACCGATGACTGTTGATCTTAGCGTACTGAATGAGGCACTTTTAGTTGACCCGATTGGCTATAAGCCAAAAGATTGGTCTGTCACCCGCTCTTGGACGGTGCCGGGCAGTATCCTGACTGTTACCATGATCCTTGGTCTTATTGCCCTTGGCGTGTGCACCTACTATGTACACAGGCGCAATGGAAGACCTAATGAGGTCTTATGCTAGGATCACCTCTGGGATGGAAGCAATCCCGATTTTCGGAAAACTGGCAATAGATTCCAAAACCCTATCAGGTGACCCATCCACAGCATCCCCAGCTTCTTCCCCAGAGTTCGCTAGGTCAGCCCTGTAGTGCCACCAATGGAATCTTTGTCATTCAGGGTTCGTTTTTGTGGTCCTCTGTAGCTCAGCTGGTAGAGCACGGCGCTTGTAACGCTAAGGTAGTGGGTTCGATCCCCGGGACCACCCATACACAAAAAAAAAATGTATGCACGCATGACTGTAAGTCGCTTTGGATAAAAGCGTCTGCTAAATGGCATATTATTATTATTATTTTTAGAGAGTGCCTTAACTACACACCTTCAAGTAGGATCGCCCTAGATATGACATTAGACAAATGTCATGATAGAGTCATTTAGCCAAGACCATGGACGTGCATAGAATAGTGCCGGTCTTTACACCTTAATACTGCCATAAATTAGAGAGGAGGAGAATCTATATCTGTCACTCTAGTATGGTGAAAGGAATACCTTTGTTTCAGAGACCTTTTGCCGCACAAAAACTTCAACATCCAACAATGAATATTGGGGACAATATATTTCAACCTGCAAATGTAGGGAATGATGAGAAATGGAATATGGAAAATTATTGTCTATTTTGTGACGTCATTAAAAATGGTTTATAGGCGTTATAACAAAAACATTGTGACTTGAAGAGCTTTTACACTGTCAGATTTACATCCTTTACATTGTGTATAAAATATCAAGGAGGAAGATAGGAATGTGATTTCAGCTTTCTAACAAAATCATAGTGATGATAATACTTTTGCCTCGTAACTAGCCACGCCCGAGGGAGCTCAGAGAGCGTGTCAGTATGACGGAAACGCCCCTCTTTACCAGAGTGCGTAAAAGATTGTGTTAAGAATGATCAGATCAGACTAGATGGACCTCAAGCTGCAGCTTTTGTCCATATTGGTCCCGACCCTGAAAATCAACACGAGGTGAAGACGACAAGGTTGCCTCCACTAACAATCAATGTTACGGCTGAGTAGCTGTTCTAAGTATTGTATCTAAGAAGGTGAATTTAAGTGGAACCATCCTGTTAATCTCTTCAAGCCATAGTCTAGTACACTGCTCTCGTCACCCCATAGGGGATGAGTCTAGGTGCTAGGGGTAATGGCACCGGAGGGAATGGCTGCCGTTTTATGGACTCTTAACCAACCGTGGTATTTTGTGGGGTTTTTCACATTGTTTGTAACTTATATTGTAGCTCTCTCAAGACTATTGTAGCCATAGTCTTGAGAGAGCGTAGCAGGAGGAGGTTGTCGGGTGAGGTCGTCGGGTAAGCTTGGCTTTATATATAGTTTGGGCTTTGTCGAGTAAGGCTTAAACTATGTATTTAGATTGTAGTTAGGTATTGTAGGTAGTTATCGTGGGTTGTTGTATGTAATTATTCTAGGTTAGTATTGTATTCGGCTGAGCCCGGTGAAGCGCGAAGCTAGCTAGCTAACCCACTACCTGGACTAGCTGGCGGGTAGCTACTGGCAACTATTAGCAACGGTATAGTTGTTTCACGCCTGAGAGTGCCTGTAATTACGCCAGCTGGCTGCCTACAATAATTACATACAATAATTGCCTACCATTCAGCTGTTTTCTAACCTCATTGTCTGAACCGTTAACGTTAGGTAGTAAGTGGCTACTGTGCTTGAAATTTAGCTAGCTTGTTGCTACCTGGATAGCTACTAGTAAACAATAGCTGGAACGACCTAGCGAACAGACGCAAACTGGCTGAGTCAATTCAGTGGCTAGCTTTGCACTTGGCTAGCTAACAGTAGCTGCTAGGGGTAAGTCATAACCTACATTAGTGTTTTGTTTTTACATATTGGTAGCCAGAGTCGTTCAAGGAATTCGGGACATGGGTGACTAGTTAACGTTAGCTTGGCTCTCTCTGTGTGTTCGTGCCGTGAAAGGAGGGGTTTCTTCTTTGTCTGAAAGCAATGGCTAGCTAGTATGCTAACTATTCTAGCTAACTAACTGGCTGAATAAGTTGACGACGGACTCGCTCAAGCTGTCGGGACTAACCCACAACGTTAGACACGGACATGAACGATCTGCTTGGCGTGTTGACACACTGGTGGTTTGTTGTGGCCGAGTATTGGTGCTAAACCGTGTTGTTGGAGTCCGGCATGCTAGCTGGCTGTGGCGTCTTATGACTAGGTGCCCTGGACGATTTTCACGGAAGAATACTGTACCTAGTTAGCTAGCTGAATAAACTAAGTTAGTCTATTCCTAGAAAGCATTGAACCGCTGTAGTTTACAACAATTATAGTTTCTGAGGTGGAAGTTGGGAGAGTTATATTTGGGTGTTGTGGTGAGGGAGGCCCCGCTCTCTCCTTTCCCAGATGTTTAGTTCATTTCATTCCGATCTCCTTTGCATTATTGTAGCCATTTTCTGCAGCCTGTCAACTATGCCTCTGTCTATCCCTGTTCTCTCCTCTCCGCACAGGCTATACAAACGCCTCACACCGCGTGGCTGCTGCCTCTCTAACCTGGTGGTACCTGCACGCACCACCCACGTGGAGTTCCAGGTCTCAGGCAACCTCTGGAACTGCCGTTCTGCTGCCAACAACGCAGAGTTCATCTCAGCCTATGCTACCCTCCAGTCCCTCGACTTCTTGGCGCTGACGGAAACATGGATTACCACTGAAAACACTGCTACTCCTACTACTCTCTCCTCATCTGACCATGTGTTCTCGCATACCCCGAGAGCATCTGGTCAGCGGGGTGGTGGCACAGGAATCCTCATCTCTCCCAAGTGGACATTCTCTATTTTTCCCCTGACCCATCTGTCTATCTCCTCATTTGAATTCCATGCTGTCACAGTCACTAGCCCATTTAAGCTTAATATCCTTGTCATTTATTGCCCTCCAGGTTCCCTTGGAGAGTTCATCAATGAGCTTGACGCCATGATAAATTCCTTTCCTGAGGATGGCTCACCCCTCACAGTTCTGGGGGACTTCAACCTCCCTACGTCTACCTTTGACTCATTTCTCTCTGCCTCCTTCTTTCCACTCCTCTCCTCTTTTGACCTCACCCTCTCACCGTCCCCCCCCCCTACTCACAAGGCAGGCAATACGCTTGACCTCATCTTTACTAGATGCTGTTCTTCTACTAATCTCACTGCAACTCCCCTCCATGTCTCCGACCACTACTTTGTATCCTTTTCTCTCTCGCTCTCCTCCAACACTACTCACTCTGCCCCTACTCAGATGGTAATGCGCCGTCGCAACCTTCGCTCTCTCTCCCGCTACTCTCTCCTCTTCCATCCTATCATCTCTTCCCCCTGCTCAATCCTTCTCCCTCCAATCTCCTGATTCTGCCTCCTCAACCCTCCTCTCCTCCCTTTCTGCATCCTTTGACTCTCTATGTCCCCTATCCTCCCGGCCGGCTCGGTCCTCCCCTCCTGCTCCGTGGCTTGATGACTCATTGCGAGCTCACAGAACAGGGCTCCGGGCAGCAGAGCGGAAATGGAGGAAAACTTGACTCCCTGCGGACCTGGCATCTTTTCACTCCCTCCTCTCTACATTTTCTTCATCTGTTTCTGCTGCTAAGGCCACTTTCTACCACTCTAAATTCCAAGCATCTGCCTCTAACCCTAGGAAGCTCTTTGCCACTGTCAAGCCCTGACTCAGGGGACGGTTATTTGTTGTGTCAGGGTGTGTATATTTCGTGTTGTGTTTATTTCTATGTTTAGTTTCTAGATCGTTTAGATCTATGTTGGCCAGGGTGGTTCCCAATCAGAGGCAGCTGTAGCTCGTTGTCTCTGATTGGGGACCATACTTAGGCAGCCGTTTGGCACCAGTCTGTGTGGGATCTTGTTCCGTAAAGGTATGTTATTAGTCTACCTTGGACTTCACGTTTCGTTTGTTGTTTTTGTCGTGTGTTCAGTACGTCAATAAATATGAATGCATATCACGTTGCGCCTTGGTCCTTCTCGTTAATGAACGATCGTGACAGCCACCTTCTCCTCCCTGCTGAATCCCCCCCCCCCCCTCCCTCTCTGTGGATGACTTCGTCAACCATTTTGAAAATAAGGTTGACGACATCCGATCCTCGTTTATTAAGTCAAATGACACTGCTGGTCCTGCTCACACTGCCCTACCCTATGCTTTGACTTCTTTCTCCCCTCTCTCTCCAGATAAAATCTTGCGACTTGTGACGGCCGGCCGCCCAACAACCTGCCCGCTTGACCCTATCCCCTCCTCTCTTCTCCAGACCATCTCCGGTGACCTTCTCCCTTACCTCACCTCGCTGATCAACTCATCCTTGACCGCTGGCTATGTCCCTTCCGTCTTCAAGAGAGCGAGAGTTGCACCCCTTCTCAAAACACCAACACTCGATCCCTCTGATGTCAACAACTACAGACCAGTATCCCTTCTTTCTTTTCTCTCCAAAACTCTTGAGCGTGCCGTCTTTAGCCAACTCTCTTGCTATCTCTCTCAGAATGACCTTCTTGATCCAAACCAGTCAGGCTTCAAGACTGGTCATTCAACTGAGACTGCTCTTCTCTGTGTCACGGAGGCTCTCCGCACTGCTAAAGCTAACTCTCTCTCCTCTGCTCTTGTCCTTCTAGACCTGTCTGCTGCCTTTGATACTGTGAACCATCAGATCCTCCTCTCCACCCTCTCCGAGCTGGGCATCTCCGGCGCGGCTCACTCTTGGATTGCGTCCTACCTGACCGGTCGCTCCTACCAAGTGGCGTGGCGAGAAGCTGTCTCCGCACCACGTGCTCTCACTACTGGTGTCCCCCAGGGCTCAGTTCTAGGCCCTCTCCTATTCTCGCTATACACCAAGTCACTTGGCTCTGTCATATCCTCACATGGCCTCTCCTATCATTGCTACGCAGATGACACACAACTAATCTTCTCCTTTCCCCCTTCTGATAACCAGGTGGCAAATCGCATCTCTGCATGTCTGGCAGACATATCAGTATGGATGACGGATCACCACCTCAAGCTGAACCTTGGCAATATGGAGCTGCTCTTCCTCCCGGGGAAGGACTGCCCATTCCATGATCTCGCCATCACGGTTGACAACTCCGTTGTGTCCTCCTCCCAGAGTGCGAAGAGCCTTGGCGTGACCCTGGACAACACCCTGTCATTCTCCGCTAACATCAAGGCGGTGACCCGATCCTGTAGGTTCACGCTCTACAACATTCGGAGAGTACGACCCTGCCTTACACAGGAAGCGGCACAGGTCCTAATCCAGGCACTTGTCATCTCCCGTCTGGATTACTGCAACTCGCTGTTGGCTGGGCTCCCTGCCTGTGCCATTAAACCCCTACAACTCATCCAGAATGCCGCAGCCCGTCTGGTGTTCAACCTTCCCAAGTTCTCTTACGTCACCCCGCTCCTCCACACACTCCACTGGCTTCCAGTTGAAGCTCGCATCTGCTACAAGACCATGGTGCTTGCCTACGGAGCTGTGAGGGGAACGGCACCTCCGTACCTTCAGGCTCTGATCAGTCCCTACACCCAAACGAGGGCATTGCGTTCATCCACCTCTGGCCTGCTGGCTCCCCTACCTCTGCGGAAGCACAGTTCCGGCTCAGCCCAGTCAAAACTGTTCGCTGCTCTGGCACCCCAATGGTGGAACGAGCTCCCTCACGACGCCAGGACAGCGGAGTCACTCACCACCTTCCGGAGACATTTGAAACCCCACCTCTTTAAGGAATACCTGGGATAGGATAAAGTAATCCTTCTACCGCCCCCCTTACCCCACCAAAAAAAAAAAAAAAAAAAAAAACATTGTAAAGTGGTTATCCTACTGGCTATAAGGTGAATGCACCAATTTGTAAGTCGCTCTGGATAAGAGCATCTGCTAAATGACGTAAATGTAAATGTAAATGTAATAATGTTGCTGCTACCATCTCTTATGACCGAAAAGAGCTTCTGGACATCAGAACAGCGATTACTCACCTTGAACTGGACAAATAATTTTTCTTTAATGAGTCGGACGAGAGCGATTTGCTCCAGACATCCGACAGGGCCCTCATCCCCATCGTTCGCAGTACAAAGAAAATGAGATATCGCGGAAGGAGATAAGGGTGCTTGGTAAGGAGCCGGCGACGAGTGGCTAATCTGCCTTTGCCATCGATACTATTGGCCAATTTACAATCGCTTGATAATAAAGTGGACAAACTACAGGCTACAGGCAAACTACTATATCCTACCAGCGGAACATTAAAAACTGTAATATATTATGTTTCACAGAGTCGTGGCTGAAGGAAGAGAAGAATAACATAAATTGGCGGGTTATACACTGAATCGGCAGGATAGAACAGCTGCCTCCGGTAAGACAAGGGGTGGCGGTCTGTTTATATTTGTAAACAACAGCTGGTGCACAATATCTAAGGAAGTCTCGAGCTTTTGCTCGCCTGAGGTAGAGTATCTCATGATAAGCTTTAGACCACACTATCTACCAAGAGAGTTTTCATCTATATTCTTCATAGCTGTCTATTTACAGTAAGGGAATTAAGTATTTGATCCCCTGCTGATTTTGTACGTTTGCCCACTGACAAAGACATGATCAGTCTATAATTTTAATGGTAGGTTTATTTGAACAGTGAGAGACAGAATAACAACAACAAAATCCAGAAAAACGCATGTCAGAAATGTTATGAATTGATTTTGCAGTTTAATGAGGGAAATAAGTATTTGACCCCTCTGCAAAACATGACTTAATACTTGGTGGCAAAACCCTTGTTGGCAATCACAGAGGTCAGACGTTTCTTGTAGTTGGCCACCAGGTTTGCACACATCTCAGGAGGGATTTTGTCGCAATCCACGAGGTGAGATCTTGCATGGAGCCCCAGGCCGAGGGAGATTGGCAGTTATTTTGTGTTTCTTCCATTGCGAATAATTGCACCAACTTCTCACCAAGCTGCTTGGCGATGGTCTTGTAGCCCATTCCAGGCTTGTGTAGGTATACAATCTTGTCCCTGACATCCTTGGAGAGCTCTTTGGTCTTGGCCATGGTGGAGAGTTTGGAATCTGATTGATTGATTGCTTCTGTGGACAGGTGTCTTTTATACAGGTAACAAACTGAGATTAGGATCAGTCCCTTTAAAAGTGTGCTCCTAATCTCAGCTCGTTACCTGTATAAAAGACACCTGGGAGCCAGAAATCTTTCTGATTGAGAGGGGGTCAAATTCTTATTTCCCTCATTAAAATGCAAATCAATTCATAACATTTCTGACATGCATTTTTCTGGATGTTTTTGTTGTTATTCTGTCTCTCACTGTTCAAATAAACCTACCATTAAAATTATAGACTGATCATTGTTTTGTCAGTGGGCAAACGTACAAAATCAGCAGGGGATCAAATATTTTTTTCCCACACTGTACCATCACAAACTGATGCTGGCACCAAGACCACACTCAATGAACTGTATAAGGCCATAAGCAAACAGGAAAATGCTCATCCAGAGGAGTGAAACTTAAATCCGTTTTACCTCATTTCTACCAGCATGTTAAATGTGCAACCAGAGGGCAAAAAACTCTAGACCACCTTTAGTCCACACACGGAGACTCCGTGGCCGATGTGAGAAAGACCTATAAACAGGTCAACATTCACAAGGCTGCAGGGCCAGATGGATTACCAGGACGTGTACTCCGAGCATACGCTGACCAACTGGCAAGTGTCTTCACTGACATTTTCAACCTCTCCCTGTCTGAGTCTGTAATACCAAGATGTTTCAAGCAGATCATCATAGTCCCTGTGCCCAAGAACACAGAGGTAACCTGCCTAAATGACTACCGACCTGTAGCACTCACGTATGTAGCCATGAAGTGCTTTGAAAGGCTGGTCATGGCTCACATCAACACCATTATCCCAGAAACCCTAGACCCATTCCAATTTGCACACCGCCCCAACAGATCCACAGATGATGCAATCTCTATTGCACTCCACACTGCCCTTTCACAGCTGGACAAAAGGAACACCTATGTGAGAATGCTATTCATTGACTACAGCTCAGCGTTCAACACCATAGTGCCCTCAAAGCTCATCACTAAGCTAAGGACCCTGGGACTAAACACCTCCCTCAGCAACTGGATCCTGGACTTCCTGACGGGCCGCCCCCAGGTGGTAAGGGTAGGTAGTGGCATATTGTGTTAGTCCGCTAGGGACCCGTTTTCATTGTATTAAGTTTCTAATCCCTACCTATACCATGTACGTGTGTTATCAATTTTTATTAATTAGTAAATAAATAATTACATCAATTTGTGTGGTACGGAACGATCAGTAAGACCCTCGTTCGTGCAGACTTAAAGAGTCTACGACTTTCAAAATGAGACGGATATGAGGTAAATGATTAATAAATTACTGTTAAATGATAAGAAATATCTAGATATCTTTAGAGTTATTTCGGGAAACGGTAACTCGTCAAACAACTTTTCCCGTGGTGCCCCAAATTCCTAATGATTTAATTGTTACATGATTAATTGAATCTAGTAACATTTAAACATAGCAGGTAATTATTCTATAAATAATAGTCATCACAATAATGAAAGTAACGTCACGACAATAAAGTTGATACAAGTTTGAAATAATTTGAAGCTAGAATTGCCTGAACATGTGAAAGTTTGTTTGGTGTATGTAGCTTGAGCGGTTCAAGAGTTACTGTTGGTGGGTTATATTCAATGTTTCCTCTTATTTCTTTCGGCACTGAGCAAATTTCAGGTCTGCTGAGCGCGAAGTTCAACGTTGTGAATATTCTGTGCAACTTCCACGTTTACTGTGAACACTGAGGCTGTGCTCGCTTTAAGTTATAGTTTCAGTCAGTGGTCAAATAGGCTACTGTGGCTATTTGATCATAATGTAGACTTACCAGAGTAGCCTACCATCAAAACCAATGGAGAAAATACAACCCATAACATTTTAACATGGAAATAGCTGTTCTATCGTTCAACCTACAGTAGCAGCCAATGTGTGGTGTTCAACGTAGGCCTACATTCCATGAGACTTAAAAAAAAAAAAAAAAAACATGCAGGGCTTAACATTAACCTGTTTATCGACTTGTTCTTCAGACAAGGAGGTGACTGAAAATGTTGTTGTGTTGTTTGATGCAAGAAACCACTTAACAAAATAAAATGCCATAATTACAAAGAATCAGTGAAATTGTGCTACCCTCTGCCTATTGGCTACTTAGCTTTTTCAAGCTCGTCTCAAAATACAACATTGCCCATATAAGACAAAAAAAAACTCTTTACCTGACTCCCTTTTCAGAGATGTCTAGAAATGTACACGTTTTGTGCTCTTTTAGGAAGCAATTCTGACCCCCTGCTGACTACAAATTATCTATAACTGGGCTAATAACTCACTAACTAGTAAAGGATATGAACCGATGTGCATAACTGGCTACATGCAGCCCGCGCTTTGATCTCAAAACAAGTGCGTCTACTCACGATCGCTCATGATGTAAACACAGTCCAGTTCAAAGTGACTGGCACAGATCTATACATGGCAATCGTCTATTTGCATATAGGCCTACTGCAGCTCTTATTGGTTATTATTATTATATATTATTGGTTATGCTGCACTGGTCTGTGTAGAGTATGGGCTGAGTCATGCGTGTCAATGCAATAGAATCATACTTTGATGCCTATAACAAAATCTCTTGCATAGTTTGTTTTGTTTCCGTATGTTGCAGTGAAAGTGGCTAATATTAATAAATTAATAAACAAGGTTACTAATAGGTTACTACTCCCTCCTGATTACCGTATTAACCCCTCGTTTCATGTGTCTCTCCTCAGGCCAGTGGTGGCTGGTCCGCTCCAGGAGTATGAGGTGCGGGAGGTCCCTCCACCCCCTCTGGACATCGAGGGGGCCCCAGCGTACTCCGTCCGTTCCATCCTGGATTCGAGGCGTCGGGTGGGGGGCCTTCAGTACCTCGTGGAGTGGGAGGGGTACGGTCCGGAGGAGCGGTGCTGGGTCCCGGTGAGGGATATCCTCGATACCTCCCTGTTGCAGGATTTCCACCATCGCCACCCGGCTCGCCCTGCTCTGCATCCTCCTGGTCGTCCCCGAGGCCGATGTCGGCGCGCTGCTGGAGCTGCACCTCAAGGGGGGGTACTGTCACGACTTCCTCCGAAGCTGCCTCATCTCCCTGTTCGGGCAGGCTTCGGCGTTCGTCGTCACTGGCCTTTTAGCCACTGCCGCTCCTCATCTCATCATTCCATTTGTTTTGTCTTGTTTATTACACACACCTTGTTCATATCCCCTCATTAGTACCTGTATAAGTGTTCCCTCTGCCCCCCTGTCTTTGTGTGTGATTAGTTATTGTGGAGGTGACTCTAGCTCGGTGGAGCTACTTTGTATTTTGTATCACCGGGATATTCACCCGTGTGCCTTGTTTTTCTCCAGTGCGCCGTATTTACCACACTGGAGTGTTTTATGCATAGCTGCGTTCCGCTGTGTTCCTGAATAAACCATATATTCTGTGATTTACCCTCCTGTGCCTGACTCCGTCCAAAATCACCCACTACACCTTCATGTCTTAAAGTAATGATGGACTGTCGTTTCTCTTTGCTTATTTGAGCTGTTCTTGCCATAATATGGACTTGGTCTTTTACCAAATAGGGCTATCTTCTGTATACCCCCCCTAACTTGTCACAACACAACTGATTGGCTCAAACGCATTAAGAAGGAAATAAATTCCACAAATTAACTTTTAAGAAGGCACACCTGTTAATTGAAATGCATTCCAGGTGACTACCTCATGAAGCTCATTGAGAGAATGCCATGAGTGTGCAAAGCTGTCATCAAGGCAAAGGGTGGCTATTTGAAGAATCTTTGTTTGATTTGTTTAACACTTTTTTGGTTGCTACAAGATTCCATATGTGTTATTTCATTGTTTTGATGTCTTCATAAAATAATAAAGAAAAACCCTTGAATGAGTGGGTGTGTCCAAACTTTTGACTGGTATTTTGTCTAACTTGTTGGGAAGTGGTCAAAATGGCAGTTGTGTGCAAAAAAGTTACATAAAATGTTGTTTATGTAGTTACTAAAACAGCCGTATCGTTAGACCCATACCGGATAGTTTTGTTCTGCGACCGGACTTGGAAAGCAGAGAAGTAGTGTACGATTTCATACACTCTAACTTTTTGTCTAAGTTGTTAACAAAGTGGTCAAATTAGCCGATTTGTGTCAAAAGTTGTATTGTTTCATTTACAGTGAATGGAATATTGGAAGTTGTGATATCACAATGGGGCCTTTAGAATGTTGAGGAAATCCCATACAAGGGGATGGAGGACAAAAAGTGTAATATTTTAAAAGGTTTTTTTTTTTTAATTATACAAGCATCTCAGGCGAGACCATTCTGCACGTTTGAAAGTTTGAATGGCGTTTCCAGCTTAAACAGTATAAGATGAGTAGCGTACTAAAGAATAATAAAAAATAATAAGTAGAAGCCCCACAATAACTAGAAAAGTACATTTCCTTAAGAAAATGTGGTGTGCATGCTAGCTTGTGAAGGTTTGATTAGTTGATAGGATAGGATAGCCTGAAGACGTGAAAGTTGGTTAAGTGTCTCTAGCTTGAATGGTTCAAGAGTTACTGTTGGTGGGTTATTTTATGCTAATATATGCAGATGTATATAGTTATAGTTGATAAAATAATTGGAAGAATTGGAAGTTAGCACAGCCTGAACATATGAAAGTTGGTTTGGTGTCTCTAACTTGAACGGTTCAAGAGTTACAGTTGGTGGGTCATTTTATGCTAATTTATGCAAATGTGAACAGTTATAGTTTATACAGGTTTTTAAGAATTTGAAGTTAGGATAGCTTGAACATTTGAAAGTTGTTTTGGTGTGTCACGATCGTTATAAGATGAAGCGGACCAAGGCGCAGCGTGGTAAGCGTACATTTTATTTAATTAACGTACTTAACACACACGAACAAAAACAACAAACCAAACGATATGTGAAGTCCTAGGTTAACACCAAAACAAACCATACGGAACAAGATACCACAATGACTAGTGCCAAACATGCTGCCTAAGTATGGTCCCCAATCAGAGACAACGCGAAACAGCTGCCTCTGATTGGGAACCACCCTGGCCAACATAGATCTACACGATCTAGATCAACAACATAGAAAATACAACATAGACACTACATGGTGTCTCTAGCTTGAACGGTTCAAGAGTTGTTATTGGCGATTCATTGTATGCAAATGTATGCAAATTTTTACAGTTATAGTTGATTAAAGTTTTTAAGAATTTCAAGTTAGGATAGTCTGAACATGTGAAAGTTGGTTTGGTGTCTCTAGTTTGAACGGTTCACTGTTGGTGAGTTATTTTATGCTAGGATAGATAATAAGATAAGATAATAATAATATAATCAGCCAGGTGCGAAGGTGAAATGATTTGCCGTATTCCTAAACAGAAGCCCCATTGCATGAACAATTGCAACCGATGAATTGCATAAAGAGATATTTGTGGAAATATATTCATGAAAATATATAAAAACAGTCATCTTTTGATTGTATTGGACACTGTATTTTGCCCTTGTACCCCTGCCTTTACGCATGAATCAATCTCGCCTCATCTTTATGCTTCAGGTCAGCACACAGCTTCGGTGCTTTGTCTGAGCAAGCCCCACAAACTTTTTGTCTCTTTGAGGTGTAGGGCCTGCTCTATCTGTGAGAATATTCTGGGAAGGCCGCCTTCGTGTTGTGCTCTCGTCACTCTTTTCTACCCAAACCGTGCCATCCCTGGCAGACTCCTGTCTCACAGTGGTAGATGGGATCACCATCTCAATTGGATCTGTTCTGGTTTTTCTGCGGCGAGGCTAAGGCATCGGAGGCAGAGGCTTGAAGTCAACATCAGAATCTGCAACGTCGATTTAAAGGTCAATATCCAATCCTCCATCCGACTCCACCTCATATACATTTGTTTGGTTGGGCTTGTATGTTGTACTCAGTGTCTGATTTGATTCTCTGAGAGGAAATTATATACAATTTCCAGCCTTTCACAATAAAAGAATTAGACCGCCCTTCATCATCATGACATCATTGTTCTAAATTCAATCATCCTCTTCACCCTCATCATTCAGATCAATCAAATTCAATCACCCTCATCATCCTCTTCATTCAGTTCACTGAAGTTACATGCACCATTATCAATTTATATCTGGTATCTATCGCCCATTCATCCATTGACACAGAATAGCATATTTTAATTTTAATTGTATTATGTTACTCGTTTTTAGTTGCCAGAGCAATGCTGCCGTGCAAGTGGTCATGTGCTGAATGCATGAACAGCATGGATATTCTTGGAAAAAGTGAAATTGAGCTGCACCTTTTGAATTTTGAGAGTTATTTGACAAAGGTAAGTGTCATAGAAACTGCAGAATATGCTGTTTCTGATACTATATAGAAATCAAAATGTTTTACCTGCATGTGACTCTGAGGGCATGTGACTCTGAAGGAGGATTTGATAAAGTGATGCTCCTTTACCTGAATCTGTAAATTACAAGATGCACCCATCTCTTCATGTACAATTTGATAACTGATAATATTGTCACTCATCAGATTATTGTGTGAAATTAGTTTTGGTATAGTTTAGGTGTAGTTTCAATGGGCTGGCTGTGCAGGCTGACTGGCATCATTTGTTTCCCGCTCATCAACTTGGATATGTTTTGCAATATTCTAAAGGCCTACTGCAACATGTAGCATGTTTTTGTTTCCCTTACAATAAATGTGATTAGTAATAGAGTTACAGTAAATAAAACAGTCCTGTAACAACTTATTTTTACAAAGTAAAACATGAAAGAGAATGGTATCAACCCGCAAGGTGCGCGGTCAAATTATTAACATGAGTGACAATGCTGATGAATAGGAATAACACAAACTCATCATTACACTATTGTTGTTCTAAATTAAATCAACCTCCTCACCCTCATTATTCAGTTAGGCCTAATTTAAATTAGATTGTGAAGTAACTTGCACAGTTATTTCCCATTCCATCCATTTGTCATTCATTCAGTGGGCTTGCATCGTTTGCTTCGCTTGATAGAGTCAAGGATTATGTTTTGCATTATTCTAAAGGCCTACTGCAACACGTAGCTTGTGTTCGTTTCCGTTACAATAAACGTGATTTGTAAAAGAGTTACAATAAATACACTGCTCAAAAAAATAAAGGGAACACTTAAACAACACAATGTAACTCCAAGTCAATCACACTTCTGTGAAATCAAACTGTCCACTTAGGAAGCAACACTGATTGACAATAAATGTCAACATGCTGTTGTGCAAATGGAATAGACAACAAGTGGAAATTATAGGCAATTAGCAAGACAACCCCAATAAAGGACTGGTTTTGCAGGTGGTGACCACAGACCACTTCTCAGTTCCTATGCTTCCTGGCTGATGTTTTGGTCACTTTTGAATGTTGGTGGTGCTTTCACTCTAGTCGTAGCATGAGACGGAGTCTACAACCCACACAAGTGGCTCAGGTAGTCCAGCTCATCCAGGATGGCACATCAATGCGAGCTGTTGCAAGAAGGTTTGCTGTGTCTGTCAGCGTAGTGTCCAGAGCATGGAGGCACTACCAGGAGACAGGTCAGTACATCAGGAGACGTGGAGGAGGCCGTAGGAGGGCAACAACCCAGCAGCAGGACTGCTACCTCCGCCTTTGTGCAAGGAGGAGCAGGAGGAGCACTGCCAGAGCCCTGCAAAATGACCTCCAGTAGGCCACAAATGTGCATGTGTCTGCTCAAACGGTCAGAAACAGACTCCATGAGGGTGGTATGAGGGCCCGACGTCCACAGGTGGGGGTTGTGCTTACAGGACGTTTGGCATTTGCCAGAGAACACCAAGATTGGCAAATTCGCCACTGGCACCCTGTGCTCTTCACAGATGAAAGCAGGTTCACACTGAGCACATGTGACAGACGTGACAGAGTCTGGAGACGCCGTGGAGAACGTTCTGCTGCCTGCAACATCCTCCAGCATGACCGGTTTGGCGGTGGGTCAGTCATGGTGTGGGATGGCATTTCTTTGGGGGGCCGCACAGCCCTCCATGTGCTCGCCAGAGGTAGCCTGACTGCCATTAGGTACCGAGATGAGATCCTCAGACCCCTTGTGAGACCATATGCTGGTGCGGTTGGCCCTGGGTTCCTCCTAATGCGAGACAATGCTAGACCTCATGTGGCTGGAGTGTGTCAGCAGTTCCTGCAAGAGGAAGGCATTGATGCTATGGACTGGCCCGCCCGTTCCCCAGACCTGAATCCAATTGAGCACATCTGGGACATCATGTCTCGCTCCATCCACCAACGCCACGTTGCACCACAGACTGTCCAGGAGTTGGCGGATGCTTTAGTCCAGGTCTGGGAGGAGATCCCTCAGGAGACCATCCACCACCTCATCAGGAGCATTCCCAGGCGTTGTAGGGAGGTCATACAGGCACGTGGAGGCCACACACACTACTGAGCCTCATTTTGACTTGTTTTAAGGACATTACATCAAAGTTGGATCAGCCTATAGTGTGGTTTTCCACTTTAATTTTGAGGGTGACTCCAAATCCAGACCTCCATGGGTTGATAAATTTGATTTCCATTGATAATTTTTGTGTGATTTTGTTGTCAGCACATTCAACTATGTAAAGAAAAAAGTATTTAATAAGATTATTTCATTCATTCAGATCTAGGATGTGTTATTTTAGTGTTCCCTTTATTTTTATGAGCAGTGTAAAACAGTCCCATAACAGCTTCTTTTCATTAAGTAAAACATAAAAGAGAATGGTATCGCATGGTCAAATGATTTGCTGCTGACACTGTAAATAGGCAGTCATTACTCTATTGTCTTTCTAAATTAAATCAACCTCTTCAACCTCCTTATCATCCGGTTAGGCCTAATTAAAATTCTCTGTAGAGTTAAACCACTCAAAAACCAAGCCCATCGTTATCATATTTTCCAGCATGTTCTATAGCAGGTAGATTTTTTTAATTGGTTGTTTCAATATCTGTGTTTTATGCTACACAAAGATAAATAACATACATTTTTCTAAACTAATCGAATCTGTTAGTAGTTGGACTTAATGCACCCGTTACTGAGATGGCTGTTCCAGTTTAGATGGCTTAGCTAGTCTCATTTATCAACCTTTCAGCCTATCAGCCATTCTGAATGCAGGTTGTGGGTGATTAAAAGTTCCAATTGTTGGATATTCTCACTCTGGCTGGATTCTAATAGGAATTACACATCACTTTGCAAGCTAGCATAATGTGACTTGAAGGCCTGATGTGGCCTGTAAACCAATGCATTAGGGTATAACTAGGCCGTCAAAGAAAGGACTTATGACATATGTAATGTATTGTCATAAAGAGTTTAATTTTAAAGGCTAATGAGGCTGGTGGAACCATTCATAAAGGGTTCTAGGTAGAACCCTCTGCAAACAGTTCTACCTAGCACCAAAAAGGGTTCCCCTATGGGGACAAACTGAAGAACCCTATATGGTTCTACTTAGCACCTTTTTTTCTAAGAGCGTGCAGTATTAATTCTGTAAAACACATTTAAGGTATCTACACTGTTTTATTGTTGAAATTACAGGAAAGTCTTACAGTGTATGAGTGACGCAATGTCATTTAAAAATGTTACACAGGTTACACAGGGCTTTATGTACACAGTATGGTTGCTTTAAAGTGTTTCATTTTGGACTCAAATCTCTATCCGCAAGGAGGGTTTCTGAGTACCTATGTATTTCTGGACAACCTACCAAGTAAGATGCCCCCACTCCCTCCAATTACACACACAAAAAAAACCTAAACGTCAGTTCATGTCTGCTCTCCCCATGTCTGCATGGGATGAAGTTTTCACGGTAAATCAGTGAGGGTTTCCCCTTCTAATTCTGCCTCTACTCCATCACCTCTCCCTCATCTCTCCCTCACCTCTCCCTCATCTCTCTATCATCTCTCCCTAATTTCTTTCTCATCTCTCCCTCATCTCTCCCTCAACTCTCCCTGATCTCTCTCTCATCTCTCCCTCACCTCTCCCTCATCTCTCTCTCATCTCTCCCTCATCTCTCCCTCATCTCTCTCTCATCTCTCCCTCATCTCTCCCTCATCTCTCCCTCATCTCACTCTCAGCACTCCCTCATCTCTCCCTCATCTCACTCTCAGCACTCCCTCATCTCTCCCTCATCTCTATCTCATCTCTCGCTCATCTCTCCCTGATCTCTCCCTCGTCTCTCTCTCATCTCTCCCTCGTCACTCTCTCGTCTCTCCCTCGTCTCCACCTGGTCTCTCCCTCATCTCGCCCTCTTCTCTCTCTCTTCTCTCTCCTTCATCTCTCTCTCATATCTCTCATCTCTCTGTCAACCCTCCATCATCTCTCGCTCAACTCACTCTCATCTCTCCCTGATCTCTCCCTCGTCTCTCTTCATCTCTCCTCGTAAAACTCTCTCGTCTCTCCCTGTCTTCTCTCGTCTCTCCCTGTCTCTCCCTGTTCTCCTCGCGCTCCCTCGTCGCTCCCTGGGTCTCTTTTTTGTCTCCCCCTCGTCTTTTCTTCTCTTCTCTTGTCTCTACCTCGTCTCTCTTTCTTATTTCATCTCTCTCTAAAATCTCTCTAACTCACTTCATATCCCTCATCTCTAGCTCTCACTCATCTCTCCTAAATTTTCTTCTCATCTCTCAGCTCTTGTCATCTTCCTAGGCTTCCAGCGTTCCTGTTTTCCCTGTCTTCCCATCTCTCTCATCCTCCTCAATTCTCCTAATATCTCCAAATCTCTTCATACTCTCTCACTCTCCCTCTTTTTAATCTCGCTCATCTCTTCTCCATCCCCTCATCCTCCATCTCCCCTCATCTCCCCGTCAGCTCCTTTCATCTCCCTATCTCTCATCACTCACCTCAAACTCCCCCTCACTCTCTTCAACTCTCTCTCATCTCTCCCTCATCTCTCCCTCATATCTCTCTCATCTCTCTCTCATCTTCTCATCTCTTTCTCATCTCTCCCTCATCTCTCTCATCTCTCTCATCTCTTCCTCATCTCTCCCTCATCTCTCTCATCTCTCCCTGATCTCTCCCTCGTCTCTCTCTCATCTCTCCCTCGTCACTCTCTCGTCTCTCCCTCGTCTCCACCTGGTCTCTCCCTCGTCTCTCTCTCGTCTCTCCCTCATCTCGCCCTCTTCTCTTCTCTCTCCTTCATCTCTCTCTCATATCTCTCATCTCTCTGTCAACCCTCCATCATCTCTCGCTCATCTCTCTCTCATCTCTCCCTGATCTCTCCCTCTTCTCTCTCTCATCTCTCCCTCGTCACTCTCTCGTCTCTCCCTCGTCTCTCTCTCGTCTCTCCCTCGTCTCTCCCTCGTCTCTCCTCGTCGCTCCCTCGTCGCTCCCTCGTCTCTCTTTTGTCTCTCCCTCGTCTCTCTTCTCTCTCTCTTGTCTCTACCTCGTCTCTCGTCTCTCTTTCATCTCTCTCTCAACTCTCTCTCAACTCACTCTCATCCTCCCTCATCTCTCTCAGCTCTCACTCATCTCTCCCTCATCTCTCTCTCTCCATCTCTCAGCTCTTGCTCATCTCTCCCTCGTCTCTCCCTCGTCTCTCCCTTGTCTCTCCCTCGTCTCTCCCATCTCTCTCATCTCTCCCTCATCTCTCCCTCATATCTCTCAAATCTCTCTCTCATCTCTCTCTCATCTCTCCCTCATCTCTCTCATCTCTCTCATCTCTTTCTCATCTCTCCCTCATCTCTCTCATCTCTTCCTCATCTCTCCGTCAGCTCTCTCTCATCTCTCCCTCATCTCTCCCTCATCTCACTCTCAACTCTCCCTCATCTCTCTCTCAACTCTCTCTCATCTCTCCCTCATCTCTCCCTCATATCTCTCTCATCTCTCTCTCATCTCTCTCATCTCTTTCTCATCTCTCCTCTCTCTCTCATCTCTCTCATCTCTTCCTCATCTCTCCCTCATCTCTCTCATCTCTCCCTGATCTCTCCCTCGTCTCTCTCTCATCTCTCCCTCGTCACTCTCTCGTCTCTCCATCGTCTCCACCTGGTCTCTCCCTCTTCTCTCTCTCGTCTCTCCCTCATCTCGCCATCTTCTCTCTCTCTTCTCTCTCCTTCATCTCTCTCTCATATCTCTCATCTCTCTGTCAACCCTCCATCATCTCTCGCTCATCTCTCTCTCATCTCTCCCTGATCTCTCCCTCGTCTCTCTCTCATCTCTCCCTCGTCTCTCTCTCGTCTCTCCCTCGTCTCTCCCTCGTCTCTTCCTCGTCGCTCCCTCGTCGCTCCCTCGTCTCTCTTTTGTCTCTCCCTCGTCTCTCTTCTCTCTCTCTTGTCTCTACCTCGTCTCTCGTCTCTCTTTCATCTCTCTCTCAACTCTCTCTCAACTCACTCTCATCCTCCCTCATCTCTCTCAGCTCTCACTCATCTCTCCCTCATCTCTCTCTCTCATCTCTCAGCTCTTGCTCATCTCTCCCTCGTCTCTCCCTCGTCTCTCCCTCGTCTCTCCCTCGTCTCTCCCATCTCTCTCATCTCTCCCTCATCTCTCCCTCATATCAATTCAATTCAATTCAATTCAATTCGCTTTATTGGCATGACGTAACAATGTACATATTGCCAAAGCTTACTTTGGATATTTACAATATAAAAAATAAATAAAAATGAGAATCAAAAATTGTCAACGGGACAACAGTAACAACAATAACCAACGGTCAATATAACCATACATTCAACAATAACAATAATCATACAGTTGAGGACATGTGCAGGTTTATTGGTCTGTCAGACACTGTTCCTCAACTTATGGCAGGCAGCAATGTAGTGCGCTGCCAACCCACAGCTCTCTGCGTCCTCCCCCAACAGGATGGGTAGCCTATCCTCATCAGAGAGGTCTTTAAAACCTTGAATAAGGATTTTCAAATTTGGGGAAATGACACTCTCTAATTGTTTTATATTTTTGACATTTTGTCAGGAAATGCAGCTCCGTCTCAGGTTCTGCTGTTGTGCAGTGGTTGCACAGCCTTTCCTCTACAGGGAGCCAGGTTTTCCTGTGTCTACCCTTCTCAATGGCAAGGCTGTGCTCACTGAGCCTGTACTTTGTCAAGGTTTTTCTAAGGTTTTGATCAGTAAACCATGGTCAAATATTTAGCCATAGTGTACTGTCGATTTAGGGCCAGATAGCACTGCATTTTGCTTTGTGTTTGTGCTTGTGTTTCCCAATAAGCAATGTAGTTTTGTTTTGACTGTGTTGTAATTTGGTTTATTCTGATTGATTGGATGTTCTGGTCCTGAGGCTTCAGTGTGTTAGTAGAAACAGGTTTGTGAACTCAGCCCCAGGACCAGCTGGATGAGGGGACTCTTTTCTTTGCTCAGCTCTTGGCATTGCAGGGCTTGGTAATGATATGAGAGGGGGTCACTGTATTTTAGATGTTTCCAAAACTTAATTGCTCTTTTTTGAGTTTTTATTATTAGTGGATATTGGCCTAATTCTGCCCTGCATGCATTGTTTGTAGTTTTCCTCTGGACACGTAGGAGAATCTTACAGAAACTCTGCATGTAGGGTTTCAATGGGGTGTTTGTCCCATTTGATGAAATCTTGTTTTGCAAGTGGACCCCACACCTCGCTGCCATAAAGTGCAATTGGTTCAATGGACAATTCAATAGTTTTAGCCAAATTTTTAATAGGTATTTCAATTTGAATTTGCTTTTTAATGGCGTAGAATTGCCCTGCGTGCTTTCTCTCTCAGTTCATTCACTGCCTCATTAAGGTGTCCAGTTGAGCTTATTTTTAAACCTAAGTAATTGTATATCTATATGTCTATATAATATGCATATCTCTCACATCTCTCTCTCATCTCTCTCTCATCTCTCCCTCATCTCTCTCATCTCTCTCATCTCTTTCTCATCTCTCCCTCACTCTCTCATATCTTCCTCATCTCTCCGTCAGCTCTCTCTCATCTCTCCCTCATCATCTCCTCATCTCACTCTCAAACTCCTCATCTCTCTCTCAAATCTCTCTCATCTCTCCCTCATCTCTCCCTCATATCTCTCTCATCTCTCTCTCATCTCTCTCATCTCTTTTCATCTCTCCCTCATCTCTCTCATCTCTCATCTCTCATCATCTCTCCCTCATCTCTCTCATCTCTCCTCATCTCTCCCTCAGCTCTCTATCTCTCCCTCATCTCTCCCTCACTCTCTCTCAACTCTCTATCTCTCTCGTCTCTCTCATCTCTCCCTCATCTCTCCCTTATCTCTCCCTCATCTCTCTCATCTCTAACTCATCTCTCTCTCTTCTCTCTGTCGTCTCTCTCATCTCTCCCTCATCTCTCTCTCATCTCTCCCTCGTCTCTCTCTCATCTCTCTCTCGTCTGTCTCTCGTCTCTCCCTCGTCTCTCCCTCGTCTCTCTTTTTTCTCTCCCTCGTCTCTCTCTCGTCTCTCTCTCGTCTCTCTCATCTCTCCCTCATCTCTCTCATCTCTCCCTCATCTCTCTCTCATCTCTCCCTCATCTCTCTCTCATCTCTCCCTCGTCGCTCCCTCGTCTCTCTCTTGTCTCTCCCTCGTCTCTCTTCTCTCTCTCTCGTCTTTCCCTCGTCTCTCTCTCGTCTCTCCCATCTCTCTGATCTCTCCCTCATCTCTCATCATCTCTCTCATCTCTTTCTCATTACTCTCTCATCTCTTTCTCATTACTCTCTCATCTCTCCCTCATTTCTCCCTCATCTCTCTCTCATCTCTTCCTCAGCTCTCCCTCAGCTCTCTCTCGTCTCTCCCTCGTCTCTCCCTCTTCTCTCCTCGTCTCTCTCTCATCTCTCCGTCATCTCTCCCTCGTCTCTCTCTCGTCTCTCCCCCGTCTCTCCCTCGTCGCTCCCTCGTCTCTCCTCGTCTCTCTCTCATCTCTTCCTCGTCGCTCCCTTTTCTCTCTCTTGTCTCTCTCTCGTCTCTCCCTCGTCTCTCCCTCGTCTCTCTCTCGTCTCTCCCTCGTCTCTCTCTCTCATCTCTCCTTCATCTCTCTCTCATCTCTCTCATCTCTCCCTCATCTCTTCCTCATCTCTCTCTCAACTCTCTCATCTCTCCCTCATCCCTCTCTCATCTCTCCCTCGTCTCTCTCTCATCTCTTTCTCATCTGTCTCTCGTCTCTCCCTGGTCGCTCCCTCGTCACTCTTTTGTCTCTCCCTCATCTCTCTCTCGTCTCTCTCTCGTCTCTCCCTCGTCTCACTCTCGTCTCTCCCTCATCTCTCCCTCATGTCTCTCATCTCTCCATCATCTATCTCATCTCTCCCTCTTCTCTCTCTCATCCCTCCCTCATCTCTGCCTCGTCTCTCTCGTCTCTCACTTGTAGCTCCCTCGTCTCTCTCTTGTCTCTCCCTTGTCTCTCTTCTCTCTCTCTCGTCTTTCCCTCGTCTCTCTCTCGTCTCTCTCTCGTCTTTCCAATCTCTCTCATCTCTCCCCCATCACTCCCTCATATCTCTATCATCTCTCTCTCATCTCTCTCTCTCATCTCTCTCTCTCATCTCTCCCTCATCTCTCTCATCTCTTTCTCATTACTCTCTCATCTCTTTCTCATTACTCTCTCATCTCTCCCTCATCTCTCCCTCATCTCTCTCTCATCTCTTCCTCAGCTCTCCCTCAGCTCTCTCTCGTCTCTCCCTCGTCTCTCCCTCTTCTCTCCTCATTTCTCTCTCATCTCTCCCCCGTCTCTCCCTCGTCTCTCCCTCGTCTCTCTCTCGTCTCTCTCTCGTCTCCTCCTCGTCTCTCCCTCGTCTCTCTCTCGTCTCTTCCACATCTCTCCCTTGTCTCTCCCTCATCTCTCCCTCATCTCTCCCTCATCTCTCTCCCTCATCTCTCCCTCATCTTTCTCTCACCTCTCCCTCAACTCTCTCATCTCTCCCTCATCTCTCTCTCATCTCTCCCTCATCTCTCCCTCATCTCTCCCTCATCTTTCACTCATCTCTCCCTCGTCTCTCTCATCTCTCTCTCATCTCTCCCTCATCTCTCCCTCAGCTCTCTCTCAGCTCTCTCTCAGCTCTTGGTCATCTCTCGCTCATCTCTACCTCGTCTCTCCCTCGTCTCTCTCAGCTCTCACTCATCTCTCTCTCATCTCTCTCCCTCATCTCTCCCTCATCTCTCTCTCTCTCATCTCTCTCTCATCTCATTCATCTCTCTCATCTCTCCCTCATCTCTCCCTCAACTCTCCCTCATCTCTCTCTCGTCTCTCTCATCTCTCCCTCGTCTCTCCCTCGTCTCTCTCTTGTCTCTCCCTCGTCTCTCTCATCTCTCCCTCATATCTCTCTCATCTCTCCCTCAACTCTCTCATCTCTGCCTCAACTCTCTCAGCTCTCACTCATCTCTGCCTCATCTCTCTCTCATCTCTCTCATCTCTCCCTCATCTTTCTCTCATCTCTCCCTCGTCTCTCTCGTCTCTCCCTCATCTCTCCCTGATCTCTCTCACCTCTCTCTCAGCTCTTGCTCGTCTCTCGCTCGTCTCTCCCTCGTCTCTCCCTCTTCTCTCCCTCGTCTCTCCCTCGTGTCTCCCTGGTGTCTCCCTCGTGTCTCCCTCGTCTCTCCCTCGTCTCTCCCTCATCTCTCTCCCTCATCTCTCTCCCTCATCTCTCCATCATCTCTCCCTCATCTTTCTCTCATCTCTCCCTCGTCTCTCTCGACTCTCGCTCGTCTCTCCTTCGTCTCTCTCTCGTCTCTCTCTCGTCTCTCTCTCGTCTCTCTCTCGTCTCTCTCTCATCTCTCCCTCCTCTCTCCCTCATCTCTCCTTCATCTATCCCTCATCTCTCCCTCATCTCTCCCTCAGCTCTCTCTCAGCTCTCTCGTCTCTCGCTCGTCTCTCCCTCGTCTCTCCCTCGTCTCTCTCAGCTCTCACACATCTCTCCCTCATCTCTCTCCCTCATCTCTCTCTCATCTCTCCCTCATCTCTCCCTCATCTCTCCATCATCTCTCTCTCATCTTTCTCTCGTCTCTCTCTCTCATCTCTCTCTCATCTCTCCCTCATCTCTCCCTCATCTCTCCCTCATCTTTCTCTCATCTCTCCCTCGTCTCTCTCGTCTCTCCCTCATGTCTCCCTGATCTCTCTCCCTCATTTCTCCCTCACCTCTCTCTCAGCTCTCTCTCAGCTCTTGCTCGTCTCTCAATCGTCTCTCCCTCGTCTCTCCCTCGTGTCTCCCTCGTCTCTCACTCGTCTCTCCCTCGTGTCTCCCTCGTGTCTCCCTCGTCTCTCCCTCGTCTCTCTCTCATCTCTCTCTCATCCCTCCTTCATCTCTCCCTCACCTCTCTCTCGTCTCTCTCTCGTCTCTCTCTCGTCTCTAACTCATCTCTCCCTCTCATCTCTCCCTCATCTCTCCCTCATCTCTCCCTCAACTCTCCCTCATCTCTCTCTCGTCTCTCTCATCTCTCCCTCGTCTCTCCCTCGTCTCGCTCTTGTCTATCCCTCGTCTCTCTCATCTCTCCCTCATATCGCTCTCATCTTTCTCATCTCTCCCTCAACTCTCTCATCTCTGCCTCAACTCTCTCAGCTCTCACTCATCTCTGCCTCATCTCTCTATCATCTCTCTCATCTCTCACTCATCTTTCTCTCATCTCTCCCTCGTCTCTCCCTCTTCTCTCCCTCGTCTCTCCCTCGTCTCTCGATCATCTCTCTCCCTCATCTCTCTCCCTCATCTCTCATCATCTCTCCCTCATCTTTCTCTCATCTCTCCTCGTCTCTCGTCTCTCCCTCGTCTCTCCCTCGTCTCTCGCTCGTCTCTCCCTCTTCTCTCCCTCGTCTCTCCCTCGTGTCTCCCTCGTGTCAACCTCGTCTCTCCCTCGTCTCTCCCTCGTCTCTCCATCATCTCTCTCCCTCATCTCTCTCCCTCATCTCTCCATCATCTCTCCCTCATCTTTCTCTCATCTCTCCCTCGTCTCTCTCGTCTCCCCCTCGTCTCTCCCTCGTCTCTCTCTCGTCTCTCTCTCGTCTCTCTCTCCTCTCTCTCTCGTCTCTCTCTCAGCTCCCTCATCTCTCCCTCATCTCTCCTTCATCTCTCCCTCATCTCTCCCTCAGCTCTCTCTCAGCTCTCTCAGCTCTTGCTCGTCTCTCGCTCGTCTCTCCCTCGTCTCTCCTTCGTCTCTCTCAGCTCTCACTCATCTCTCCCTCATCTCTCTCCCTCATCTCTCTCATCTCTCCCTCATCTCTCCCTCATCTCTCTCTCATCTCTCTCTAATCTCTCTCATCTCTCCCTCATCTCTCCCTCATCTTTCTCTCATCCCTCCCTCGTCTCTCCCTCGTCGCTCCCTCGTCTCTCCCTCGTCTCTCCCTCATCTCTCCCTCGTCTCTCCCTCATCTCTCCCTCGTCTCTCTCTCGTCTCTCCCTCGTCTCTCCCTCGTCGCTCCCTCGTCTCTCTCACGTCTCTCTCTCATCTCTCCCTCGTCGCTCCCTTTTCTCTCTCTTGTCTCTTTCTCGTCTCTCCCTCGTTTCTCCCTCGTCTCTCTCTTCTCTCCCTCGTCTCTCTCTCTCATCTCTCATTCATCTCTATCTCATCTCTCTCATCTCTCCCTCATCTCTTCCTCATCTCTCCCTCAGCTCTCCCTTATCTCTCTCTCATCTCTCTCATCTCTCCCTCGTCTCTACCTCGTCTCTCCCTCGTCTCTCCCTCGTCTCTCCCTGTCGCTCCCTCGTCTCTCCCTCGTTTCTCCCTCTTCTCTCCCTCGTCTCTCCCTCGTTTCTCCGTCGTCTCTCCCTCGTCTCTCCCTCGTCTCTCCCTCGTCGCTCCCTCGTCTCTCTCTCGTCTCTCTCTCATCTCTCCCTCGTCGCTCCCTTTTCTCTCTCTTGTCTCTCTCTTGTCTCTCCCTCATTTCTCCCTCGTCTCTCTCTCGTCTCTCCCTCGTCTCTCTCTCTCATCTCTTCCTCATCTCTCCCTCATCTCTCCCTTATCTCTCGCTCATCTCTCGCTCATCTCACCCTCATCTCTCTCTCATCTCTCTCATCTCTCCCTCGTCTCTCCCTCGTTTCTCCCTTGTTTCTCCCTCGTCTCTCGCTCGTCTCTCGCTCGTCTCTCGCTCGTCTCTCGCTCGTCTCTCGCTCTTCTCTCGCTCGTCTCTCGCTCATCTCTTGCTCATCTCTCCCTCAGCTCTCGTTCATCTCTCTCTCATCTCTCATCTGTCCCTTCATGATTTGCAGAAATAGCTTGTTATTTTTTGACGATTAGGAGAACAAATATTCGGCTGAATTTTCCTTTAAAGGTATTACAATAAATAAATATACAGTAATTGATCACACCTCTAGACCTACAGGTAAGACCAACGAACACATGACCATGCTTTAATTCATGTTTACACAGAGAAAGAGAGTGATTGTACAATAATATACTATACCATATCGTGAAATGCTGACTTAATAAAAGCTGATTTTGGGCCAGTAAATACAAAACGTCCTAAGAGAATGTCTAAGCAGAAGCAGTATACTGCACAGACAAAATAGTTGTTATTACAGACAAGGGTGAGTGGCTGGCAACCTGACACAGAGTGAGATAGACCATTATGCAGTGAAAGGCCTGAGGGATATAGAGAGTTGAGATGTGTATCCTTGTCCTCTCTCAGCTCTTGCTCGTCTCTCGCTCATCTCTCCCTCGTCTCTCCTTCGTCTCTCTCAGCTCTCACTCATCTCTCCCTCATCTCTCTCCCTCATCTCTCTCTCATGTCTCCCTCATCTCTCCCTCATCTCTCTCTCATCTCTCTCTCATCTCTCTCTCATCTCTCTCTCATCTCTCCCTCATCTCTCCCTCATCTTTCTCTCATCTCTCCCTCGTCTCTCTCGTCTCTCCCTCATCTCTCCCTCGTCTCTCCCTCATCTCTCCCTCATCTCTCTCATCTCTCCCTGATCTCTCCCTCATCTCTCCCTCAGCTCTCTCTCAGCTCTCTCAGCTCTCCTTCATCTCTCTCTCATCTCTCTCATCTCTCCCTCATCTCTCCCTTATCTCTCGCTCATCTCTCGCTCATCTCTCGCTCATCTCTCTCTCATCTCTCTCATCTCTCCCTCGTCTCTCCCTCGTCTCTCCCTCGTTTCTCCCTCGTCTCTCGCTCGTCTCTCGCTCGTCTATCGCTCGTCTCTCGCTCATCTCTCGCTCATCTCTCCCTCAGCTCTCGTTCATCTCTCTCTCATCTCTCTCATCTCTCATCTCTCCCTCATCTCTCCCTCATCTCTCCCTCATCTCTCTCTCAGCTCTCCCTCGTCTCTTTTTCATCTTTCTCTCGTCTCTCCCTCGTCTCTCTCTGTTTTATCTCTCCCTCATATCTCTCTCATCTCTCTCTCATCTCTCTCTCATCACTCTCATCTCTCTTTCTCATCTCTCTCTAAACTCTCTCTCATCTATCTCTCTCGTCTCTCTCTCGTCTCTCTCGTCTCTCTCGTCTCTCGTTTGTCTCTCGCTCATCTCTCGCTCGTCTCTCGCTCGTCTCTCGCTCGTCTCCCGCTCGTCTCTCCCTCGTTTCTTCCTCTCATCTCTCCCTCATCTCTCCCTCATCTCTCTCTCATCTCTCTCTCATCTCTCTCTCATTTTCCCTCATCTCTCTCTTCTCAGCTCTCTCTCAGCTCTCTCTCTGCTCTATCTCTGCTCTCTCTCTGCTCTCTCTCTTCTCTCTCTGCTCTCTCTCTCGTCTCTCCCTCGTCTCTTCCTCGTCTCTCTCTCGTCTCTCTCTCATCTCACCCTCGTTTCTTCCTCATCTCTCTCTCGTCTCTCCGTAGTCTCTCCCTCATCTCTCCCTCATCTCTCTCTCATCTCTCCCTCGTCTCTCCCTCATCTCTCACCTAATTTTTTATTTTTCCTCTCCTCGTGTCAGACCAGCTGACTCTCCACATTCAGATGATGGATTGTCCCGCCAGACAGTCCCTGGTCATACAGTACAAGGCTGCTGCTTATGCTCGTCTCACCTCACGGCCCCCTCTCCCCTTCTCCCCCGCGTCTCTCACCCCTCTCTCCTCTCCCTCGTCCCACCAGGTATGTCTTGTGGCTGTGGGCCGTTACTCTGACGCCCGCCTCACTGACACGTGGATAAACAAGCACTGGCTGGCTTGGCGTCGTGCTCTGACAATAAGGGATTTCTCCCATACTCTCGCCGAGGCCCAACAAAGGCTATATTGATGCTGAACTCCAATAGTTGGTAGGCTAAGGAGGAAAGGGAAAAGAGGGAGGAAGCGGTGCTGTGCAGTTAAAGAGATCCCTGAAATGTGGAAGACGGAGTAGGTGAGTGTAGTCCACAAAGGAGGGGGTGTGGGGGGGGGGGGGGGGGGTTGAATGTCACCTCTGTGTAAGGTCATTTCAAATGAAACAGTATGGCCTCTTGTGCGACAGCTCCAAAGATAGAGGTGGCCTTACAGATCATCCTTTTTGCAGTTTTGCAAATGATCAGATCTCACAATGTCTGGAAAAGTGTAAAACATCCCAGGAACTACATTCATGTGATAGCAATCTTCTGAGATGCATAGTGCAACTGCAAAGAAGACAACCTGCAAAACCATCGTGTTCTCGAGGTTGATCAATGATGTGCATTGATGTCCGAGGTAATAAAAGAGTGTTTGTTAATTGAAGTAATGTCTATGTTGTTGTAATATCGCAAACGGACGTGGCAATTTCACCGCAATGGATTCCAATTTAAATAGGGACCATTGTTTTTATAACAACACAAAAAGTCTCATACACTATATTACTCCCAGTAATTTATTAGAGGACTTGGTAACACATTACTGTAGGTGTCCTTATACATGTACTCATAAAGCCTTTATGTTAACTATATAACACATTACAACATTTGACATAACCTGTCATAAGTCGTTTTAAATAGTTATGAGTCACGGCATGAGATGTTATGAAAACTGTTAAAATAATCCATGGGCAAAGGGACAAATTTCACATACTTATCCACTTTGGGGTGGCAAAGACTAATGATTTTCATTAAGGTCCATGTCTGTGGGTTATATTTTGGTATGAAAGCAATGTATCGGAGGTAGCTAAATGTTACTATCACTGCATTATATGTTATGACCCATGTGTAGTTAGTTGGGCCAACAGGAGTATGACCCCACTAGAATCAACATTCAGATATAACACTCACAAACCTTTTTACCTCAACACCAAGATTTTATTAACACCCGCAACTTTGCTATGTGACTTCAAGATGGCCAAAGTCGCTCCCCTCCTCAAGAAACCAACACTCGACCTCTCTGACGTCAAAAACTGCAGACCGGTATCCCTTCTTTCTTTTCTTTCCAAAACACAAAACACTTGAGTGTGCTGTCTCTGACCAACTCTCTTGTTATCTCTCTCAGAATAATCTTCTTGACCCTAACCAGTTAGGCTTTAAGACAGCTCACTCAACTGAAACCGCTCTCCTCTGTTTCATGGAAGCTCTCCGCTCTGCCAAAGCTGACTCTCTCTCCTCTGTTCTCATCCTCCTAGATCTATCTGCTGCCTTCGACACCGTGAACCATCAGAACCAGCTTCCCCCTGAAGCTAGAACAGCAGAGTCCCTGCCCATCTGCCGAAAACATCTGAAACCTAACCCTCCCCCATAAAAAAAGCATGTTCCTACTATCAATCAATCAATCAAATGTATTTATAAAGCCCTTTTTACATCAGCAGATGTCACAAAGTGCTATACAGAAACCCAGCCTAAAACCCCAAACAGCAAGCAATGCAGATGTAGAAGCACTGACTTTATAGAAGCACTGACTTTGCTGATAACTACTTTATTGAGGGAAAATGTACTTGCTAAGACTGTGATATGTGGTTGTCTCACCCAACTATCTTAAGATGAATGGACTAATTGCAAGTTGCTCTGGATAAGAGTTGGGGCACGATACCGATACTGCTCAGTGTCTTCTATCTTTGCCTTGTGCATGTGTGTGTGTGTGTGCGTGTGTTTGTGTGTGCGTACATTTATTCCTTCTCAAACATTACACACATTGCCAAAATTGAGGATCACTTGCCGAAGCTGTTCATCTATGGCTAGACATCCTCAAAAGTGCATAACTGCACCAGAACTCTCAGCACATAAAAGGCGATTGATGACTAGCCATAACATTTTGATATTAATCTTTGAAAGGCTTTCCTTATCTGCAGTAATATTAGCATTACCTCTACTTACGGATCCCATCAGTCTCTTATCCATAAATAACAAAGCTGTGCAATAAAGGTGAGTATCTAAGATGAGACAATGTGATGCTTTTTATATAGTCTCCACTCAAAGTTGGTGAATTGCAAGAGGCCTTAAAGGGATAGTTTACCCAAATAACATCAAGTTGTTTTGTGATTTGGTTGAACTATCACTTTAAGGTGATTAAAATAGGCTGACTGAAACACAGTGGACATTAGGATGGGAGTCATTTCCATTTAAACTCTGTAAAATTAACTCTGATTCTCTTCATGAGTTGCAGAAATAGCTCGTTATTTTTTGACGATTAGGAGAACAAATATTCGGCTGAATTTTCCTTTACAGTTATTACAATAAATAAATATACAGTAATTGATCACACCTCTAGACCTACAGGTAAGACCAACGAACACATGACCATGCTTTAATTCATGTTTACACAGAGAAAGAGAGTGAGTGTACAATAATATACTACACCATATCGTGAGATGCAGACTTAATAAAAGCTGATTTTGGGCCAGTAAATACAAAACGTCCTAAGAGAATGTCTAAGCAGAAGCAGTATACTGCACAGACAAAATAGTTGTTATTACAGACAAGGGTGAGTGGCTGGCAACCTGACACAGAGTGAAATAGATTATTATGCAGTGAAAGGCCTGAGGGATATAGAGAGTTGAGATGTCTATCCCTGTCCTTGTCCATCAAGGGAAGAATCCAGAGCCATAGCTCCACCTGCAGGATCTTGAGGCAAATAAGAACATTGTGTACCTCAAGAATGAACACAGACCTCCTAGTATAGTAGTAGTTACATAGTAATAAAGTAGTAGCACTATATTTACAGTGCTTACAAATACACAAATAACTTAAAAACCTTATCATTATCATTAAGTTTGGGTAATCTCAACAAATATTATCATTAAGATTGGGTAATCTTACCAATCTTATCTCATATAGATTTGGTAAGCCTGTGTTGGTTTATATATTATTTTTAGGATGGAAATATAAGCCATTACTTACTTGGGGAGCATAGGCCATCGACTACTCCTCTCCATCACACTCTGGTCTGGGCAGTCTTCTGAATAAACCTTTGCCTCTTTAAAAAAGGTTTAACAACCTGTGCCTCCATTTGAAGAGGGATTAATCAACATAACCCCTCTCTTCTAAAAGCGTTAATGAACTCGGTGTTACATTTCCAAACTCGGCAATCGCTTTGCATTAATTGATACATTGAATATAATGGCCAATTAGAAACATTACAAATACTGTAGTATTTCAGTTCAGCTGAACTCAATTGACCCAATCGTACACCTCCTCTGTGTGATTTTCATCCACAAACAGAATATTCTGTAACATCCTTACTCAAACATGGCACTAGTACACCGAATACACATATTTAATATTGTCAAACCTTGGTCTGAATTAAAACATGTCTATATAAAAATGTAGCACTGTGACACAAAGTAATAGCAAGCTGAAGCACTACGTTAAATATAGATAATATAATTATATAAAAATAAGAACATATGGAACATAAGGAATAAACCCTCACTAGACTAGATCATTCTCTCTTGGATGTTTGAGAGGACTTAGGCATGCTCTGTACTCTGTATCTGTGATTCACTCATTAAGGGGGGCAATGGTACTGTACCATATCAAGTTAGATACTAGACAGCGTTTTGACTGCACCAGAGTATCACTGCCAGGTCCAGGACCTAATTACGGTAATACAATTACCAAACAACAGCTGCGATGATAACCAGTCACTGCTCTGGAAGCGGACTACATCAGTCCAAAATGTGCTCCCACATCAGTTCCCCTGGAACTCCCTGTAGTTGTTTTCAGGTACACATTGGACCATGAACATAGCTGGAAAACAGAAAACTGAATGAATGGTCTGGGACCTAGTCCATTCACACAGAGTTCAGGGTCCGCCAAATGGCACGGTGTCCTTGATGGAGAAAGTGAATGCTTCTCTCAAAGGGCAAGGATTGATGCTAAAGTTGTCTGTTATATTATAGGGGAAACTCTCTGTGGTTGTGAGCAATATGGTGACATCTAATCAATTAGGCTCTCAAATTGAATTTTGTAATTTTGTAAAGCAACTGAACGCAAAAAACAACATATCTGGTTGAAAACGTCCTATGTGGCATTGATATTAGTCAGAAACATTTATTCCAGCGACATAATTGACCAAAAAGTGGAACTAAATTTGTGAGATTTGTATAACTGAGGTCGTCACGACTTACATGAGGGTTGGATTGGGATTACAATCATGCCCACTTGCCCACTAACATGAGATGAAACAGCTGTGCTGATTGCGCTCTATCCAATCGTAGCTCCAGACAGTGAACCAGACCTGTCCATTACTCAGCACCTCAGACTTGAACTTGTTTACATAAGACAACACGTCGCCAATGTTATACGATTTTTTTTGTCATTTAACAGACGCTCTTATCCAGAGCGATTTACAGTTAGTGAGTGCATACATTTTTCATAGCACTCTCATCTGAGTGTGCCAGAGCGCAGAATAGCTGATGAATTTACGAACCCTCAACACCCGTTGAATATGGCCGGTGTCAGTTTAAAAAAAAGCGTAGTTAAATTGTTGCCAGCAGCACAGTTACAATCACCAATGCTCTGGATAACATAAAAACAGCGTAACCAGCTCTGCTAGGGCTAGTAAAATCAAATCAAATCAAATTGTATTTGCCTCATGCGCCGAATACAACAGGTGTAGACCTTACAGTGAAATGCTTACTTACAAGCCCTTAACCAACAATGCAGTTTTAGGAAAAATTAGTTTTAAGTAAAAAAATAGATAAGTAAAAAATATTAAAGAGCAGCAGTAAAATAAACTTACAGTAGGGAGGCTATATACAGGGGGTATCGGTACAGAGTCAATGTGTGGGGGCACAGGTTAGTCGAGGTAATTGAGATAATATGTACATGTGGGTAGAGTTAAAGTGACTATGCATAAATAATAAACAGAGCACAGCAGCAGCGTAAAAGAGGGGGTAGGGTGGGGTGGGGTTGGGTTGGGTTGGGTGGGGGGGAAATGCAAATAGTCTGGGTAGCCATGATTAGCTGTTCAGGAGTCTTATGGCTTGGGGGTAGAAGCTGTTAAGAAGCCTTTTGGACCTAGACTTGGCGCTCCAGTACCGCTTGCCGTGCGGTAGCAGAGAGAACAGTCTATGACTAGGGTGGCTGGAGTCGTTTACAATTTTTAGGGCCTTCCTCTGACACCACCTGGTATAGAGGTCCTGGATGGCAGGAAGTTTGGCCCCAGTGATGTACTGGACATTACTCTGTAGTGCCTTGCGGTCGGAGGCCGAGCAGTTGCCATACCAGGCAGTGATGCAACCAGTCAGGATGCTCTCGATGGTGCAGCTGTAGATCGTACTTTTTGGAGAAATGTCCTCTGGTCTGATGAAACAAAAATAGAACTGTTTGGCCATAATGACCATCGTCATGTTTGGAGGAAAAAGGGGGTTGCTTGCAAGCCGAAGAACACCATCCCAACCGTGAAGGAGTCCCCTGTAGCTCAGTTGGTAGAGCATGGTGCTTGCAACGCCAGGGTTGTGGGTTTGTTTCCCACGGGGGGCCAGTATGAAAAAATGTATGCACTCACTAACTGTAAGTCGCTCTGGATAAGAGCGTCTGCTAAATGACTAAAATGTAAATGTAAGCACGGGGTGGCAGCATCATGCTGTGGGGGTGCTTTGCTGCAGGAGGGACTGGTGCACTTCACAAAATAGGTGGCATCATGAGGAAGGAAAATTAGGTGGATATATTGAAGCAACATCTCAAGACATCAGTCAGGAAGTTAAAGCTTGGTCGCAAATGGGTCTTCCAAATGGACAATGACCCCAAGCATACTTCCAAAGTTGTGGCAAAATGGCTTAAGGACAACAAAGTCAAGGTATTGAAGTGGCCATCACAAATCCCTGACCTCAATCCTATAGAAAATTTGTGGGCAGAACTGAAATAACGTGTGCGAGCAAGGAGGCCTACAAACCAGACTCAGTTACACCAGCTCTGTCAGGAGGAATGGGCCAAAATTCACCCAACTTATTGTGGGAAACTTGTGGAAGGCTACCCGAAACATTTGACCCAAGTTAAACAATTTAAAGGCAATGCTACCAAATATTAATTGAGTGTATGTAAACTTCTGACCCATTGGGAATGTGATTAAATAAATACAAGCTGAAATAAATCATTCTGTCTATTAATATTCTGACGTTTCACATTCTTAAAATAAAGTGGTGATCCTAACTGACCTAAGACAGGAATAACTGAGTTTGAATGTATTTGGCTAAGGTGTATGTAATCTCCCCATTTTAGCTACTGTTCTATCAATATGTTTTGACCATGACAGTTTACAATCCAGGGTTACCCCAAGCAGTTTAGTCACCTCAATTTGCTCAATTTCCACATTATGTATTACAAGATTTAGTTGAGGTTTAGTGTTTAGTGAATGATTTGTCCCAAATACAATGCTTTTAGTTTTAGAAATATTTAGGACTAACTTATTCCTTGCCTCCCGGTCTGAATCTAACTGCAACTCTTTGTTAAGTGTTGCAGTCATTTCAGTCACTGTCGTAGCTGACACATATAGAGTTGAGTCATCCGCATACATAGACACTCTGGCTTTACTCAAAGCCAGTGGCATGTCATTAGTAAAGATTGAAAAAATTAATGGCCTAGACAGCTGCACTGGGGAATTCCTGATTCTACCTGGATTATGTTGGAGAGGCTTCCATTAAAGAACACCCTCTGTGTTCTGTTGGACAGGTAACTCTTTATCCACAATATAGCAGGGGGTTTAAAGCCATAACACATACGTTTTTCCATCAGCAGACTATGATCGATAATGTCAAAAGCCGTACTGAAGTCTAACAAAACAGCCCCCACAATCTTTTTAGTATTAATTTCTCTAAGCCAATCATCAGTCATTTGTGTAAGTGCTGTGATTGTTGAATGTCCTTCCTTGTAAGCATGCTGAAAGTTTGTTGTCAATTTGTTTACTGTATTGTATCTGGTCAAACACCATGGTTGAAACTACGCTCATGGTTGGTAACAGGCTGATTGGTCGGCTATTTAGCCAGTAAAGGGGGCTTTACTATTCTTAGGTAGCGGAATGACTTTTGCTTCCCTCCAAGCCTATGGGCACACACATTCTAGTAGGCTTAAATTGAAAATATGGCAAATAGGAGTGGCAATATCATCCGCTATTATCCTCAATAATTTTCCATCCAAGTTGTCAGACTCCGGTGACTAATTTTTTCACCTCTTCCACACTCACTTTACGGAATTCAAAATTACAATGCTTGTCTTTCATAATTTGGTCAGAAATACTTGGATGTGTAGTGTCAGTGTTTGTTGCTGGCATGTCATGCCTAAGTTTGCCAATCTTGCTAATGAAAAAAGAATTAACGTAGTTGGCAATATCAGTTGGTTTTGTGATGAATGAGCCATCTGATTCAATGAATGATGGAGCTGAGTTTGTATTTTTTCCCAAAATTTCATTTAAGGTGCTCCAAAGCGTTTTACTATCATTCTTTATGTCATTTATCTTTGTTTCATAGTGTAGTTTCTTCTTCTTTTTATACAGTTTAGTCACATGATTTCTCAATATGCAATACGTTTGCCAATCGGTTGTGCAGCCAGACTTATTTGCCATTCCTTTTGCCTCATCCCTCTCAACCATATCATTTTTCAATTCCTCATCAATCCATGGGTATTTAACAGTTTTTACAGTCATTTTCTTAATGGGTGCATGCTTATTAGTAACTGTAATAAGCAATTTCATAAATGTGTCAAGTGAAGTGTCTGTTTGCTCCTCATTACACACCACGTACCAACAAATATTATTTACACCAACAACATAGGAAACACCACTAAACTTATTGTATGACCTCTTATACACAACATTAGGCCCAGCCTTTGGAACTTTGGTTTTCCTAGACATGGCTAATATATTGTGATCACTACATTCGATAGATTAGGATACTGCTTTCAAACAAATCTCTGCAGGGTACTGGAGTGTGAGGCAGGTCACGGCCCCTTATTCATCTATATTATCTTATCTATCACCTACTGTACTGGAGTGGGAGGCCGGTCACGGCCCCTTATTCATCTATATTAATTTATCTATCACCTACTGTACTGGAGTGGGAGGCCGGTCACGGCCCCCTATTCATCTATATTCTCTATCACCTTGTCGTGACGTGACTTTCATTAATATGATGACTGTTATTTATCGAATCAACTAACTATGTTTAATTGTAACTTGATTAAATTAATAATGTAACAATTAACCCATTAGGAATTTGGGCAGCATGGAATAAGTTGTTTAACGAATTACCATCTCACAAATTAAACTCTTAGAAGATATATGTTATATATCGATAACAGTCACTTATTAAATAATTACCTCTTATCAGTCTCATTCTGAACGTCGCATAATCCTTGAACCTGCAAGAACCCTAACCTTATTGATGAATCAGCAATACACAAATTGGCTTAATTATTTATTTACTAACTAACTAAATAATAACAGAATACAAACACACACACAATACAATGAAAACAGGTCCCTAGTGGACTGGACTCACAATAAGGAGGGGTCAGAGTGGAAGGGAGAGACAGAGATTCAAACTATCATTGTTACATTTGGAAACTACGCTCACAGTAATCATAATACTTAGCACCCTAACCACCGCTCATTCGGATAAGAAATGCAATGTATATATTTATGTGTAGCTGTCCTTGATTGTCTTTTCTCTGTTGAACCACTTTCTCAAAAAGGGTTTGAGTGTCCTGGTTCCACTTCGGTGAGACTCGACTTGTCTTCGAATGGAGTGTTCGTTAGAATAGATACTTCAGATGTATCAACGGTTGTCAGAGAGGGATTGTCCTTCCCAACTCGTGTCTTTACTGAATGTTCTCTAGACGACTATACATGCCAGCTGCAGACTGGTAATGGTACGGTCTAGTGAGTTTCTTCTTCTTGTGTAGAGATTGAGAGTTTCAGAGTTTCTCATCATTTCAAACGTGTGGACTAACGTCTCACGTTTTCTGGTCTTTCTGGTCTAACCATTTTAAGCCGGTATAACGGTTGATTTGTTTTTCAAGACTTTTTATGCTCGGGTAAAAAAGGGCGTTCCATCACGCCGACCCAATGTCTGTGCTTACTTGGGCGTGGTTACTGACTGGCAAAAGTTTATATGAAATTATCTAATTTAGAAGGCTAAAATCACATTGCCATCTTCACAAACGTATTCTCATACTTAATCATATATTTTATACAACATTTAGATGCAAACCTGATAACTGAAATGTATACACTTCCAGAGATAGTTATTTAGTAATACCATCCTTAATAACATCACAAAACAATAAACAATATGACATGATTATTCTTTAGATCCCCACCAACCATTCCAACCACTTAGACGTCAGAAATAATGTTCCAATGTCCAATCATTTGGAGAAAAATGTTTTGGTGGCAGTCTGTCCCTGTAACACAGAGACATTCAGATCCAACAAGGAGTCATTTGTTTCAAACCATTTAGGAAAGGCGCGAGGAGTCATAAACCCCCCCACATCAATCCCTCCTGTGTTCATAAAAATGACCATGGGAGAGAGAGAGAGAGATCTGTAGACTGTTGCTTCTCTGTATTCTGATCTTGGGCTTCTCACGTGGGACCATCACATGAGAGTCATGACAACCTACTGTACTGGAGTGTGAGGCCGGTCACGGCCCCCTATTAATCTATATTCTCTATTACCTACTGTACTGGAGTGTGAGACCGGTAAAGGCCCCCTATTCATCTATATTCTCTTATCTATCACCAACTGGACTGGAGTGTGAGGCCAGTCACGGCCCCCTATTCATCTATATTCTCTATCACCTAGCATACTGGAGTGTGAGGCCGATCAAGGCCCCCTATTCATCTATATTCTCTATCACCTAGCATACTGGAGTGTGAGGCCGGTCAAGGCCCCCTATTCATCTATATTCTCTATCAACTACTGTACTGTAGTGTGAGGCCGGTCACGGCCCCCTATTCATCTATTTTCTCTATATATCACTAATTGTACTGCAGCTTGAGGCCGGTCACGGCCGCCTATACATCTATATTCTCTATCACCTACTGTAGTGGTGTGTGAGGCCTGTCACGGCCCCCTATTCATCTATTTTCTCTATATATCACTAATTGTACTGCAGCTTGAGGCCGGTCACGGCCGCCTATTCATCTATATTCTCTATTCCCTACTGTAGTGGTGTGTGAGGCAGGTCACGGACCCCTATTCATCTATATTCTCTATCTATCACCTACTGTACTGGATGTGAGGCTGGCCACGGTCACCTATTCATCTGCAGTGCATTTGGAAAGTATTCAGACCCCTTCACTTTTCCACATTTTGTTACGTTACAGCCTTATTCTAAAATGGATTAAATTGTTTTTTTTACCTCATCAATCTACACACAATACCCCATCATGGCAAAGCAAAAACAGGGTTACAGACATTTGTGCAAATGTATAAAAAATTTAAAATGGAAATATCACATTACATAAGTATTCCTACCGTTAACTCAGTACTTTGTTGAAGCACCTTTGGCGGCGTTTACAGCCTCGAGTCTACAAGCTTGGCACACCTGTATTTGTGGAGTTTCTCCCATTATTTTCTGAAGATCCTCTCAAGCTCTGTCAGGTTGGATGGGGAGAGTCGCTGCACAGCTATTTTCAGGTCTCTCCAGAGATGTTCGATCGGGTTCAAGTCCGGGCTCTGGCTGGGCCACTCAAGGACATTCAGAGACTTGTCCCGAAGCTACTCTTGCGTTGTCTTGGCTGTGTGCTTAGGGTCGTTGGAAGGTGAACCTTCGCCCCAGTCTGAGGTCCTGAGTGCTCTGGAGCAGGTTTTCATCAAAGGATCTCTCTGTACTTTTCTCTGTTCATCTTTCCCTCGATCCTGACTAGTCTCCCAGTCCCTGCCGCTGAAGAATATCCCCACAGCATGATGCTGCCACCACCATGCTTCACCGTAGGGATGGTGCCAGGTTTCCTCCAGACGTGACACTTGGCATTCAGGCCAAAGAGTTCAATCTTGGTTTCATCAAACCAGAGAATCATGTTTCTCATGGTCTGAGAGTCTTTAGGTGCCTTTTGGCAAACTCCAAGCGGGCTGTCATGTGCCTTTTACTGAGGAGTGGCTTCCATCTGGCCACTCTACCATAAAGGCCTGAATAGTGGAGTGCTGCAGAGACGGTTGTCCTTCTGGAAGGTTCTCCCATCTCCACAGAGGAACTCTGAAGCTCTGTCAGAGTGACCATCGAGTTCTTGGTCACCTCCCTGACCAAGGCCCTTCTCCCCCAATTGCTTAGTTTGGCTGGGCGGCCAGATCTAGGAAGAGTCTTGGTGGTTCCTAACTCCTTCCATTTAAGAATGATGGAGGCCACTGTGTTCTTGGGGACCTTCAATGCTGCAGATATTTTTTGGTAGCCTTCCCCAGATCTGTACTTCGACACAATACTATCTCAGAGCTCTACGGACAATTCCTTCGACCTCATGGCTTGGTAGTTGCTCTGACATGGACTGTCAACTGTGGGACCTTATACAGACAGGCGTGTGCCTTTCCAAATCATGTCCAATCCATTGAATTTGCCACAGGTGGACTCCAATCAAGTTGTAAAAACATCTCAAGGATGATGAATGGAAGCAGGATGCACCTGAGCTCATTTTCGAGTCTCATAGCAAAGGGTCTGAATACTTATGTAAATAAGGTATTTCAGTTTTTTATTTTAAATACATTTGCAACAATTTCTAAAAACCTGTTATCGCTTTTACATTATGGGGTATTGTGTGTAGATTGATGAAAAAATATATACAGTAACAGTCAAAAGTTTGGACACACCTTTTCAATATTTTTTACTATTTTCTACATTGTAGAATAATAGTGAAGACATCACAACTATGAAATAACACATATGGAATCATGTAGTAACCAAAAGAGTGTTAAACAAATCAAAATGTATTTTATATTTGAGATTCTTCAAAGTAGCCACCCTTTGCCTTGATGACAGCTTTGCACACTCTTGGCATTCTCTCAACCAGCTTCACCTGGAATGCTTTTCCAACAGTCTTGAAGGAGTTCCCACATATGCTGAGCACTAGTTGGCTGCTTTTCCTTCACTCTGCGCGCCAATTCATCCCAAACCATCTCAATTGGGTTGAGGTCGGGTGATTGTGGAGGCCAGGTAATCTGATGCAGCACTCCATCACTCTCTTTCTTGGTCAAATAGCCCTTACACAGCCTGGAGGTGTGATATGGGTCATTGTCCTGTTGAAAAACAAATGATAGTCCCACTAAGAGCAAACCACATGGGATGGCGTATCGCTGCAGAATGCTGTGGTAGCCATGCTGGTTAAGTGTATCTTGAATTCTAAATACATCACTGACAGTGTCACCAGCAAAGCACCCACACACCATCACACCTCCTCCTCCATGCGTCATGGTACATTGCCAGGACCAGTTGATTCCAGGCTGTAATGGAGTCTATTGCCCCCTGCAGGAGTTCAAGCAGGCCCTCTCCAACTACTCACTGACCTCTGAAATCTACGAGTCACTCTGCAATCACACAGAGGGCGTGGCTGACCCCTGAGGCTTCTGCGACCCCCTTCTTACCTTTGACCCCCAGCTCTGCCCCATGCACTCTCACTGTTACCAGCCACCATGTTTACATCCCACCAGAGACCTCCACTCTCCAGCCTAGCATTAGCCTATTACTAGCCAGTGTATTACAACAGAGGTTTTCAAAGTGTTGTCTTAATGTTCACTGAAGGGAGGCCCACTGTCTCAGACTTTGAAAACGGCTATATTTACAGTACAAACAGTCTAAACACACAAATGTAGCTTCACTGTCAAAGTGCATAACTGACTTTGAACCACATCCTGTGTGTTACTGTGTAACACCCTGGCTCTGGGACTCTATATGTTGAGCCAGGGTGTGTTCTTTCTATGTGGTGTATTTCTATGTTGGGAGTTCTAGTTTGTTTATTTCTATGTTGGCCTGAGTGACTCCCAATCAGAGGCAACGAGTGTCAGCTGTGGCTGGTTGTCTCTGATTGGGAGCCATATTTATACTGTCTGTTTTTCCCTTTGTGTTTGTGGGTTCCTGTTCCGTGTTGGTCTATGTTACCTAGGACGTTACGAGTCATTTGTTGTTTTTGTTTACTGTCCGTGTTTATCGCTAATGATAAATAAACATGTTCGTTCATCACGCTGCGCCTTGGTCTTCCTCTCTTAACGACGATCGTGACAGAAGAACCCACCATACAAGGACCAAGCAGCGTGTCCAGGAGCAGGCAGACTGGACATGGGAGGAAGCGCCGGGAAAGGAGATGGAGAGGTTGGCGATGGCCCAGGTGGGCAAATCGTGGTCCTGGGAGGACATGCTTGGGGGCAAAGGGCCATGGGCTAGGATTAAGGCCCTGGCGAGAGAGGAGCAGCGGCGTCAGCAGTGTCATCGTCGGACGGACGAGAGGCAACCCCAAAACATTTTTAGGGGGGGGCACACGGCATGGGCGGCTGGGCAGCAGGAGGCTGCCACAGGGCGATTTGGAGAGGAGGCCACCGGGTTTGGGGGGCCAGAAGGCAGGTTGGCGGAGCCTGGATGGAGAGCGGAACCAACTTCCCGTACTCAGGCATGGCAGCATGGGACTGGGCAGGTTCCGCGGTATGCGGAGCGGCGTTCTGTGCCACGAGTGGTCCGGCATAGTCCTGTACGTCCTGTGCGAGCACCCCGCACGTGTCGTGCGAAGGTGGGTATGCAGCCAGGACGGAGTGTGCCGGCTCGAACCTCGTGGTCTCCAATGCCTCTCCGCGGTCCCGGATATCCTGCGCCAGTGTCACGTGCTGTTATGCCAGTACGGGTACACAGCCCTGTACGTCCTGTGCTGATGCCTCACACAGAGTGTGTGAAGGTAGGCATTCAGCCAGGATGGGTTGTGGCAGCTCTTCACTCCAGGTCTCCTATCCGTCTCCACAGCCCGGCCCGGCCTGTCCCTGCTCCTCGCACCAAGCCTACGGTGTGCGTCGCCAGCCCGGTCCGGCCTGTCCCTGCTCCTCGCACCAAGCCTACGGTGTGCGTCGCCAGCCCGGTCTGGCCTGTCCCTGCTCCTCGCACCAAGCCTACGGTGTGCGTCGCCAGCCCGGTCCGGCCTGTCCCTGCTCCTCGCACCAAGCCTACGGTGTGCGTCGCCAGCCCGGTCCGGCCTGTTCCTGCTCCTCGCACCAAGCCTACGGTGTGCGTCGCCAGCCCGGTCCGGCCTGTCCCTGCTCCTCGCACCAAGCCTACGGTGTGCGTCGCCAGCCCGGTCCGGCCTGTTCCTACTCCACGCACCAAGCCAGGGGTGCGCATCGTCAGCCCAGTCCGGCCCGTTCCTACTCCACGCACCAAGTCAGGGGTGCGAGTCGTCAGCCCGGTCCGGCCCGTTCCGGCTCCACGCACCAAGCCAGGGGTGCGCATCGTCAGCCCGGTCCGGCCCGTTCCTACTCCACGCACCAAGCCAGGGGTGCGCATCGTCAGCCCGGTTCGGCCCGTTCCTACTCCACGCACCAAGCCAGGGGTGCGAGTCGTCAGCCCGGTCCGGCCCGTTCCGGCTCCACGCACCAAGCCAGGGGTGCGCGTCGTCAGTCCAGCACAACCCGTGCCTGGGTCACCGGTGCCTGGTAAGGTACCGGTCAACTGCTCCACAACGGAGCTGAAGCTAACCGCTCCTGCTACGTCCAGTTCAGCTCCAGCCAGCGGGGCCAGACCGGACCAGGGGCGCTATGGGGGGATTATTGGAGGGTGGTGGGCAAGGCCGGAGCCAGAACCGCCGCCGAGGAGGAATGCCCAACCAGCCCTCCCCTGTTTTGCTCTAGTTGAGGCGCGGTCGCAGTCCGCGCCTTTAGGGGGGGGGGGGTACTGTAACACCCTGGCTCTGGGACTCTATATGTTGAGCCAGGGTGTGTTCTTTCTATGTGGTGTATTTCTATGTTGGGAGTTCTAGTTTGTTTATTTCTATGTTGGCCTGAGTGACTCCCAATCAGAGGCAACGAGTGTCAGCTGTGTCTGGTTGTCTCTGATTGGGAGCCATATTTATACTGTCTGTTTTTCCCTTTGTATTTGTGGGTTCCTGTTCCGTGTTGGTCTATGTTACCTAGGACGTTACGAGTCGTTTGTTGTTTTTGTTTACTGTCCGTGTTTATCGCTAATGATAAATAAACATTTTCGTTCATCACGCTGCGCCTTGGTCCTCCTCTCTTAACGACGATCGTGACATACTGCTCCTACTGGTTAAGATGGAGACAGTTTTACTTACAGAGATCTTAATTATTGAAATAATCTGGTGATATAATCTGCCTAAAAAATAAGTATGTTACCAATTATATTCATATTTAGTATGGAAAATGTTTGCACTCACTAACTGTAAATCGCTCTGGATAAGAGCATCTGCTAAATGACTAAAATGTAAATGTAATGGTGGAAACCACACATGCAGATATCATCCGTTCACCTACTCTGCGTCTCACAAAGACACGGCGGTTGGAACCAAAACTCTCCAATTTGGACTCATCAGATCAAAGGACAGATTTCCACCGGTCTAATGTCCATTGTTCGTGTTTCTTGGCCCAAGCAAGTCTCTTCTTATTATTGGTGTCCTTTAGTAGTGGTTTCTTTGCAGCAATTCGACCATGAAGGCCTGATTCACGCAGTCTCCTCTGAACAGTTGATGTTGAGATGTGTCTGTTACTTGCATTTATTTGGGCTGCAATTTCTGAGGCTGGTAACTCTAATGAACTTATCCTCTGCAGCAGAGGTGACTCTGGGTTTTCCTTTCCTGTGGCGGTCCTCATGAGAGCCAGTTTTGTCATAGCGCTTGATGGTTTTTACGACTGCTCTTGAAGAAACTTTCAAAGTTCTTGAAATCTTCCGTATTGACTGACCTTCATTTCAAGTAATGATGGACTGTCGTTTCTCTTTGCTTATTTGAGCTGTTCTTGTCATTGCATGGACTTGGTCTTTTACCAAATAGGACTATCTTCTGTTTACCAACCCTACCTTGTCACAACACAATTGATTGGATCAAACGCATTAAGAAGGAAAGAAATTCCACAAATTAACTTTTAAAAAGGCACACCTGTTAATTGAAATGCATTCCAGGTGACTACCTCATGAAGCTGGTTGAGAGAATGCCAAGAGTGTGCCAAGCTGTCATCAAGGAAAAGGGTGGCTACTTTGAAGATTCTCAAATATAAAATACATTTTGATTTGTTTAACACTTTTTTGTTTACTACATTCTTCCATATGTGTTATTTCATAATTTTGATGTCTTCACTATTATTCTACAATGTAGAAAATAGTCAAAATAAAGAAAACCCCTTGAATGAGTAGGTGTGTCCAAACTTCTGACTGGTACTGTATATTTGATCAATTTTGGAATAAGGCTCTAACGTAACAAAATGTGTAAAAAGTCAAGGGGTCTGAATACTTTCCGAATGCACTGTATATCTGAGAGATATAAGAATGATCATGTATTTAACCCATTATTTTTGGCACTAAACAATCTCCATATATACACTAGATGGCCAAAAGTATGTGAACACCTGCTCGTCGAACATCTCATTCCAAAATTATGGGCATTAATATGGATTTGGTCCCCCCTTTGCTGCTATAACAGCCTCCACTCTTCTGGGAAGGCTTTCCACTAGATGTTGGAACATTGTTCGTGGGACTTGCTTCCATTCAGCCACAAGAGCATTAGTGAGTTCGGACTCTGATGTTGGGCGATTAAGCCTGGCTCACAGTTGGCATTCCAATTCATCTCAAAGGTGTTCGATAGGGTTGAGGTCAGGACTCTGTGCAGGCCAGTCAAGTTCTTCCACACCGATCTCTTCAAACCATTTCTGTATGGACCTCGCTTTGTGCACGGGAGCATTGTCATGCTGAAACAGGAAAGGGCCTTCCCCAAGCTGTTGCTTCAAAGTTGGAAGCATAGAATCGTCTAGAATGTCATTGTATGCTGTAGCGTTAAGATTTCCCTTCACTGGAACTAAGAGGCCTAGACCAAACCATGAAAAACAGCACCAGACCATTATTCCTCCTCCACCAAACTTTACAGTTAGCACTATGCATTCAGGCAGGTAGCGTTCTCCTGGCATCCGCCAGATGGTGAAGCATGACTAATCACTCCAGAGAATGCCTTTCCACTGCTCCAGAGTCCAATGGCGGCGAGCTTTACACCACTTCAGTCGGCGCTTGGCATTGCGTATGGTAATCTTATGTGCGGCTGCTCCGCCATACAAACCCATTTCATGAAGCTCCCAATGAACAGTTATTGTGCTGAAGTTGCTTCCAGAGGCAGTTTGGAACTCGGTAGTGAGTGTTTCAACTGAGGAAAGACGATTTTTATGCGCTACCTGCTTCAGCACTCGGTGGTCCCGTTCTGTTAGCTTGTGTGGCCAACCACTTCGTAGGCTACATGTCCAGTTTTACCATTAAAAGCCTAGTTAGCCTAGTTTTACCATTAAAAAATGAACAAAAAATATTTAGGATTTCCCTTAGCCATTGTCTGCATATGTAATATATGCTCATACCCAGCTCTCACTTTGTTTGTTCACCACTATTGTATCAAACACACCGGACTTAGCACCTCAGGTTTCCCTCCCTGTCTCACATGTGCAGCCCCTCAGACAGGATAATACCAAAGCCTCTTTCAGATAATAATAAGTGTAATATAGATGATAATAATAATTATATAATTATCAATAATATTATAGATACTTGCTGCTACAACTATAACAGATTGAGTGGTTAAAAATGACCATTTTATAAAGCCTCATATGAAGCAGACAATATGGTCTTGATGCAGTGAGGGGTGCAGAGAATAGCGGTTAAATGCAACAATCAAATTCTAGAATAGTAGCATAGAATTCTGGTACCGTGTGCAAAAATAACTTACAGTGAGGGAAAAAAGTATTTGATCCCCTGCTGATTTTGTATGTTTGCCCACTGACAAAGAAATGATCAGTCTATAATTTTATGGTAGGTTTATTTGAACAGTGAGAGACAGAATAACAACAAAAAAATCCAGAAAAACGCATGTCAAAAATGTTATAAATTGATTTGCATTTTAATGAGGGAAATAAGTATTTGACCCCCTCTCAATCAGAAAGATTTCTTGCTCCCAGGTGTCTTTTATACAGGTAACGAGCTGAGATTAGGAGCACACTCTTAAAGGGAGTGCTCCTAATCTCAGCTTGTTACCTTTATAAAAGACACCTGTCCACAGAAGCAATCAATTAATCAGATTCCAAACTCTCCACCATGGCCAAGACCAAAGAGCTCTCCAAGGATGTCAGGGACAAGATTGTAGACCTACACAAGGATGCAATGGGCTACAAGACCATCGCCAAGCAGCTTGGTGAGAAGATGACAACAGTTTGTGCGATTATTCGCAAATGGAAGAAACACAAAATTACTTTCAATCTCCCTCGGCCTGGGGCTCCATGCAAGATCTCACCTCGTGGAGTTGCAATGATCATGAGAGCGGTGAGGAATCAGCCCAGAACTAATGAATGTTTCAGAGGAGAACTGGGTGAAAGTGTTGTGGTCAGAGGAGACCAAAATCGAGCTCTTTGGCATCAACTCAACTCAACGTGTTTGGAGGAGGAGGAATGCTGCCTATGATCCCAAGAACACCATCCCCACCGTCAAACATGGAGGTGGAAACATTATGCTTTGGGGGGGGTTTTCTGCTAAGGGGACAGGACAACTTCACCGCATCAAAGGGACGATGGACAGGGCCATGAACCATCAAATATTGGGTGAGAACCTTCTTCCCTCAGCCAGGGCATTGAAATCGGTCGTGGATGGGTAATCCTGTATGACAATGACCCAAAACACACGGCCAAGGCAACAAAAGGAGTGGCTCAAGAAGAAGCACATTAAGGTCCTGGAGTGGCCTAGCCAGTCTCCAGAAATTACTCATATAGAAAATCTGTGGAGAAGCTGAAGGTTTGAGTTGCCAAATGTCAGCCTCGAAACCTTATTGACTTGGAGAAGATCTGCAAAGAGGAGTGGAACAAAATCCCTCCTGAGATGTGTGCAAACCTGGTGGCCAACTACAAGAAACGTCTGACCTCTGTGATTGCCAACAAGGGTTTTGCCACCAAGTACTAAGTAATGTTTTGCAGAGGGGTCAAATACTTATTTCCCTCATTAAAATGCAAATCAACTTATAACATTTTTGACATGCGTTTTTCTGGATTTTTTTTTGTTATTCTGTCTCTCACTGTTCAAATAAACCTACCATTGAAATTATAGACTGATCATGTCTTTGTCAGTGGGCAAACGTACAAAATCAGCAGGGGATCAAATACTTTTTTCCCTCACTGTACATTGTAAGGGCTGTTATTCATATTTGAAACTTACGCGCCAAAAGGTTAATTTGTAAAAATGTAAACCAAAAATAAATCTACTTTGACATTATGAAGTATTGTGTGTAGGACAGTGACACAAAATATCAATTTAATCCATTTTAAATTCAGGCTGTAATACAACAGAATGTGGAAAAAGTCAAGGGGTGTGAATATATTCTGAAGTTACTGTAAATAACATTTTTCTAAACTAATCCAATCTGTTAGTTGAACTTATTGCACCCGTTACTGAAATGGTTGTTCCAGTTTAGATGGTTTAATTCATTCATTTTTCTAACTCTGGCAGTCATTCTGAATGCAAATTGTGGGAATCCACTCTTTATGGATTCCAATAGTCTCCATAATGTGACTTGATGCCAGTTTTGCATTAGCTTATGCTGGTCACAAGTGTCCAAAACACAGTGAAGGCTGGTCACCTGTGAAAACACAACGAAGGCTGGTCACTAGTGAAAACACAACAAAGGCTGGTCACCAGTGAAAACACAACAAAGGCTGGTCACCAGTGAAAACACAACAAAGGCTAGTCTGCCAGCATAACCAGCTAGACCATGCTAGTCGGTCAGCAGAACCAGCTAGACCATGCTGGGTCAGACCAGCTTGACCAGCTAGACCAGCACTGACCAGCTTTACATTTATGCTGGTCTATGCTATCGAACCACACCCCCAAGACCCACATCACATTTTTCTTAATGAGTAGCAGATAAAACAGCCCCCCTTTAAGGCTGACTTTAGATAGGCAGCCCAATTATTGGCAAAATAGCTGATCCGATAGGTCAAAATACCAATTAGTGGGAAAATGATCAGAATTAGGTTGCCTGTGTAAAGGCAGCCCTCCAGTTTAATTCACCGCCACAAACCACCGCTAGATTGCCAGTAGTAAAGGCATGCCTTGCTTGAACAGTATATGTTTAATCATCGCGATGTCCATTGCTGGAAATCCTGACAAAGTTTTTGAAAGGACATTTAATGCCAGTCCTGTTCTTTTGATTTGAGCAGTTTGTGAATGTTCCCTTTGAGGATACTAATATAATGAAACTAAGATACAGTTGCTGGTTCTTTTGGTGCAGCAGACTGTGATCTAATGTTTTCTACAACTCAATTGACAATCTTATCAAATTATTGAAGAAAAACAACCTTTAATAATCTTTCCTCTGAGCTCAATTTTCTATTATTATGTAATCCACTTGCACAGTTAATCTGCACGTTTTGCTGAAATGTCATTTTTTTGTGCAACTTTTCATGCTCCACTTCCTTAACAGGATAGTGTGCCCAATGATCAACACTTGCACTTCCTATCTCCTGCGGGATTGTCTGAGACCAGCCACCCGGACAGCTGATGAAACTGTGGGTTTGCACAACCAAATAATTTCTGCACAAACTGTCAGAAACCATCTCAGGGAAGCTTTTCTGCATGCTCATCGTCCTCACCAGGGTCTTGACCTGACTGTAGTTTGGCAACATAACCAACTTCAGTGGGAAAATGCTCAGCTTCAATGGCCACTGGCATGCTGGAGAAGAGTGCTTTTCACGGATGAAACCCAGTTTCAACTATACTGGGCAGATGGCGTCGTGTGGGCGAGCGGTTTGCTGATGCAACGTTGTGAACAGAGTGCCCCATGGTGGCGGTGAGGTTATGGTATGGGCAGGCATAAGCTACGGACAACGAACACAATTGCATTTTATCGATGGCAATTTGAATGCACAGAGATAGCGCAACGAGATTCTGAGGCCCATTGTCGTGCCATTCATCCGCCACCATCACCTCATGTGATGGTGCTGAAAATGTCCCAGTTCTTCCGTAGCCTGCATACTCACCAGACATGTCACCAATTGAGCATGTTTGGGATGCTCTGGATTGACGTGTACGAGAGTGTGTTCCAGTTCCCGCCAATATCCAGCAACTTCACATAGCCATTGAAGAGGAGTGGGACAACATTCCACAGGCCACAATCAACAGCCTGATCAACTCTATGCAAAGAAGATGTGTCACGCTGCATGAGGCAAATGGTGATCATACCAGATACTGACTGGTTTTCTGATCCACGCCCCTACCTTTTTTTTAAAGGTATCTGTGACCAACAGATGCATATCTGTATTCCCAGTTATGTGATATACATAGATTAGGGCCTAATTTATTTATTTCAATTGACTGATTTCTTTAAATGAACTGTAACTTAGTAAAATCTTTGTTGTATGTTGCATATAATTTATTTATAATTTTTGTTCAGTGTAATTGGCTTCCTGTCTTGAGAAACAGAACTAAAGGCCTGACTTCAATTATTTTCATTGCAATATTTGAAACAGATTGATGGGTAGGCACATTCTCAACACTTTTGAGTGTGTTTATAGACAAAAGGAACATACACTTGTTGTAGGCTAACATGTTATCCATAGTGTTATGGCTTTCCAGATCAAGGCCTAGATTTAATCCGGATCACAAAGGCGATGTTCCCACATTTGTAGAGACTGTATTCACTGTAAAAGCTGCATATGTCAGCTCAATCGGAAATTACCTTTAAATTTCAATCGCGCTATAACGCGGATCTTCCGGGGTCCCGATTGAATCTAGCCCTAAGTCTCCCTAGAAGACCATCTCCTTGAATATAATGTGTATGACTCAGTGTTGTGCTCATTTTCATGAATGAAACATCATTATTTACCTAACATGCATCCGTCCTTTAACATCCATCCTTTAACATTTTGAACTTTTTGAGTTCTTCAGGATCATGAACACTACAACTTCTTTAATAAATTATTTTTGCATTAAAAATAAGTTGCTACAGTTATTTTTCTTATGACATGGTTCCCCTTTAACTCTTCCTGTTTAGTAGTGTAACTTCCTGCCTCATTTAGAACACATGCCAAAACAGGAACTTGTCTGCCCTGTGAATCAGCCTCCTAGTGGTTAGTGCTCCCTCACTTATTCGTTTTTCATCTGTTGTCCAAATGGTTCTCCATTCATGAAACCCAGCAGACTCCTGACTCAGAGCTGAATCAAAAGGAATAAACAAGGGCCGGCCACAAGCAGCCATTTCATGCAGAATATGTGGGTTTGCCACAACGATTTTGTGGGCACACCATCAACCGTCCCTTTCTATTTGAAAACCTTTAACAATCCTTGTAACTGCCAACTCGTATACATAGCCAGGCCTCATCAATGTTTTAAGGGTGCTGTGTAATATATGGTATAGAGGCCTTTTAAGAAATGCCTGTTATCAAAAGTTTGAAATGTATTGCAAAGGCTTATTATAATCATTGTAAAA